ACTGGAATACTGTTAAAAGCGGCGTTAAATCCAGCTCACTCACTCACAAGTCGTGTCTGATAAGACTGAATCATCGAGTATACAATAACAAGACCCCATATCTTCTCTTGGAGATCCTCTGTCTGTAACAAGATCTCCTTGAGGGACGAGTGGGAATTATTTCAAATTGAGTAATGATCTCACATCGTTTTCGCTCCCACCAGAGAGATTTTCTGTCGTAGCGCACTGTTGTGAAACGAATATGTCTATGCCAAGTTGAGACACTGGGTGTTGTGCAGTAATGAGCCAATGACTTTAAGATTGATAACCCTTACGTTGAACAGGTCGTAGTAGCCAGAGGATCATATTTTGATCCATTGTAGGCGCACCAGTAATTATATATGGACATTCTACTTTAAATTGTGTATGTAACCCAAGGCTGCGATGTTTGTAGACCAAGGATATAGTCGCGTCTTGAGTGTGGCACTAGTGATTCACCTCAGAGGTCGTTGAAAAGAAGTGTGTCATCTCTTTTCATATTGTCGGTGCACCCAGGCTTAAAACTTAACACATATTCCAGTCTCGGTACCCATGAGACATGTTGTCTCCATTTTTTGTACATTGCCACATAAAGATTTAGCAAATGTGTCCCAAATGTATTGTTCATTCGAAACATGATATGTTTATACTGATAATAACTTTACATTGTTCAAACGTTAAATCACACGTCCACCAATCCAATTATGTTGAGACACATCAAATCGTTTCAGGTCTGTCTTGATTTGCAGACGCAGACGATTATCATTTTCTTTGAACTAGATTATACTTAGTTCGTTTGTATCTATGATCAAACTCTAAAAGAACCTTACAGAAATCTTGTCTCTAAAGCAAAGCTTTGCCCTTCACATATGAAACGGATGCGTTCACATGCTTCTGTAACTTAACAGAAAACGTGGGGATTTCGGGACAGAATAAGTTCCCTGTGCCGCATGTCTGTCGTAAGCGTCAACTAATCGAATTGGGTGATTGCAATGTTCAACCTTGATTATCGCTACTCGACGGCATATATCGTTTTCATGCTATCAACTACTAGTTTGTATCGCCCAGACTCGACTATCAATATGCTTGTGTATATTGACGAGTTCTGCATAAAACAACTTTCATTCACTCTGTTACAAACTCATATTTCTGAGTACAAAATATATTAACTCTTCAGCATGTTCTCCGTGCCTGCAGCTAAGAAACATATTAACCCCAAATACCTTGTACCAAATAAATCTATGATAATAACACACTTCACCTCCTCATGGCCGTTTTTATCTCGCTTCTCAAACAAATGTCGGTTGTCTCTGCTCCGTCCTGTAGTTGGGTGCAAAGTCAGCCACTTAGCAAACTCTCAACTTCTGGGCCCTGAAATAAGAATAGAGGGATCAATTGTTTCCCAGACCATCGATGAAAGCCAATATAATTACTGCATCCCTCACGTTCAAAGACAGGGCTATCAGTCTTGTTTCCCGGAGTTCAGCACTCATACACCATTTACTGTCTCCATCGATCTATCTACTCTCACTTGTTGTAGTAGTGGTCCTTGGTGTATCAAAGTTCGACTAATGTCATGGAAGTGTTGGTGCTCTGTTAGAACCAGGACTGTTTCACATGAATTCACATTAAATATATATATGCATTGATATTTTCTTTCAAAAGTCTACAAGTTACAGAGTACAGTTGATTTCAAGGTATATGATCGTCGCTATTTACCTCTTGAAAATGCACTTTTCTGAAGGGTGAAACTTCAGTTTCATGACGTGCTACCATCAAAGTGGTACGCATTTGAACCCCAAAATGTTAAATTTGGAACATGGAGACTTTGCTAGTCAATATTGCATCTTTTCGATAAACCAATATTCGTATAAACTTGAAGATGCGGGTGGAACCCAAATGAAGTAAAATATTGATACGAGGCGGTAATGTTCCGTTTGTTCCTGTCGAGTATAAACTCAACAAACACAAACACGTTCATTTTCAAATGTAATTTTCCAATCCTTTTTTGTCACAGACGAATACAATTTCGCTTTGGATTGTATGATGGCCATGCTTGTGGTGTATGATTGGACATAGTTAGGCTAGGAATGTGTTAAGGACTGATTTGAAATGGCCTCTTCTACTGGTTGACCTATTGCTCCTAGTCCCCGTGGATACCAATGTTAGACCTCACTGTGACAGAAGTCATTGAATACCTCCAAAGGGAAGACCCCGACACAATGAATTGGTCAGCCAACAATCCGGCCGTTAATCCAATCGAGTATGCTCAGGACCTTGTGCAAGCTGGTCCATTCAACAGGTCGCGCCCCCAATTCCAGCACTGTACCTTTCTCAGACATTGGTTCAGAAATGGCACATAATTCCTAAAGCGTAGATGAGGAAATTGATCAGAAGTATTCGAGCAGTAATTCACATCTGTGGAGATCATATTCGGTAAAAATCGATGCAATCATTTCTGACACTCCAATGATATGCAAATGTCGTTGTACACTAGGGGATAACGATACATTGTCCTCATAGATACCATCAATTTGAAATTTGGGGATTGGCCATTTACACTAGAGGTTATCATCACAATCGCCATCATCATCATAATCTGTTTCAGTATGCATACGAGTGAAAATTTCTTCTCGGATTGAGAAAAACTAGATTTAGATCTATGCATAAAAATGCAGAGTGATAAAGAACGCCCCACAATACTGTATGACCAGAGGGATGACTAGTTAAAAGCCTCTGGTATCTCCATTCCACATTTTTTAGGTACAATCGAGCTGGTTCTTTTCATGAAAACTATCAATGTAGAGTTATCTCATACTGGATACGCTTGCTCAGACAACCAGATACACGATACTCTAGACGATGCTATTACATGCTTAAGCGCCTCGGTGACTTTGGGGATATAAATTGGTTCCTCAGCTGTTAGAGAGATTCTTTTTTCGCATGGATTTGCATACGCGTGGATATCCCAGGATGTTGGAAATAAAATTATGTTCTTAACAATGTTTAAACAACGATGTAAAGATATGTATTGTCAAGGCTGGTCAGCTGATATAAGATGTTCATGTTCAATGTTTAAGATGGAAATAACACCAGAAATGGATTTAACAACTATTCGATCTTTATCTTTACGCAGATGTTTAACGAAGTTCAAGTGTGGTATACATACCCTCAATATTCAATTATACAGACACTCCAAAGATAAGGATGTTTTATAATCGATGTGTCCTTTCTGCAAATATTACCAAGAAGATGAATACCATGTGTTATTAATATGTCCTGTATATGAAGATATAAGAATCAAATACCCGGAACATGACCCGTGAACATCCGGATTAGAGTAGATCTTCAGCAACCCAGCGGGATCGGGTGGTCTGGCTCGCTGACTTGGTTGATGCATGTCATCGTATCCAAATTGCACGGCTCGATGGTCATGATATCAATCACTGGATAGTGTGGTCCAGACTCGATTATTCACATTATATTGCTGATTGGCGTTAAACAACAAAAAACAAACTTGGGATTCTGAATTTAAATGTTCAACAATTGACTCGAAAGTTATGTTATTACTTTTATTCAAATTTTCGAAAAGTCCGCATCAGCAAATCTTCGCTTTCCTCGACGGTAAGTGCACTGTATGTGCTTGGCTGGGTGCACGTGTACCAGAAAAGGACGTAGTGGTGAAGACATCACCCTTGTCTCCTATTTACTATATGTCCACAGCAGTTCCCCCATGGGTTCCAGCATCATTATAAAAGCAATACTATCTTCCATCAATGGACGGTAGAAGGCGATGGTGCGTGTGCCCTAGGTGTAATCTTTGCGTGACAAGGAAAGGCTATTACTCTGCTTCAATGAGCTGTCTTTCACTCCATCCTACTCATCCATATTCATTGATGACCTCTTTATAGTTGGAGGAGGATTTGGCAGGTGCTTCTTGCCCAACCTGTATTGCCTGCCTGTGTATCATGATACACCTGCATGAATCAAACCAGAGGTTTCGTAGCATATTCATACAAACAGAGTTTGGGAAACGTTTATCTGTATGAACACACAATAAATAGTTTGCAATTTCTCCCACCCGCTAAATAACTAACATGAACCTCGTTCTTGGATGCAACTGTGAGTCAAGGTTATACAAGCTAATACAAAATGTTTACTGTTGTTCATCCGGCACAGGTGAAATTCAAATTCCTTAATGCGGGCCCAAAGTTAAGAAAGGTAGAGGGACTCCGAGGCAGACAGGCGTAATTCTCTCATCTATTTCTATAATATGTCGTTGCCTGAAAGAAGGTACTGCTTTGACATGGAGCAGGCTCTCGTTGACGCTCTCAGCACATTCCTTTAGCCCGGCTATTTGATCTTGCTAGCCGTTAAAGCGTTGCAGAAGGGATACTTAAATGATGAAAAATATGCCTGATGTTTTAGCCAAATGTAGATTAAACGTGATTGAAGATGGCATGCTGGCCTTCGCTGAAACCAGCAATGCATGGAAAATCGATTATATTAATATGATTCCCGGACGTTCTAGGGTATCAATCAGAATTATTATTTTTTTCAAACTATGTGCCTTTTTGCAATAATTGATGAAATAATTTACTTGAGTTCAAAGGCTGGTTACGAGTTAAAACCACTAGCACATTAAAATGTCACTGAACGCCGTACAGAATTTGATTCTTCCAGCAACTCATTGCCATTAAAAACGGATTTGTTTAGGTAAAGCCGGAACTATTTTTTAAGTATGTTGTCTTTCTTTAGTGTAAATACTAATAAAACCGTATTCTTCACGTAAGTATAATTTTGTGTACGATCACAGGTCTAGGTGTATTTGACTTGGAAGGACGTTGTGTTGTATGTAAGGAATGCGGGGAGTGCGACCGCTTGTCAAGCAAAACTGCTGCATGTTTCTGATTCCTGCTTCAGGCAAAGAGTGATAGAACTGTTGGTACGTTGAGTTATTATGAATAGTCTTGTTGTTCCAGAGCACTGAAGTATCTGAGGGAGTGCTCCAGTAGCAGGTTTATCGCTGTCATCGGCTTCTTCCTGTCCATACCATCTTTCTTGCTGGGTGAGTACAAGAATATTGTCTCCATACCATATTTCCTGTTTGGTGAGTACAAGAATAGTGTGCCCATACCACATATCCTGTTTGGTGAGTACAACAATATTGTGTCCATACCGTATTTCCTGTTTGGTGAGGACAAGAATATCGTCTCCGTACCGTATTTCCTGTTTTGTGAGTACAAGATTATTGTGCCTATATCATATTTCCTGTTTGGTGAGTACAAGAATATACTGTGTCAATACCATATTTCCTGTTTGGTGAGTACAAGAATAGTGTGTCCATACCATATATCATGTTTGGTAAGTACAACAACATTGTGCCCATACCATATTTCCTGAGGGGTACACAAAGTACGTGATCTAGACTACCATTTGACGGACTTTCATTTTTGTGGAAGTCAAGATGGCTGAGTGGGTTAGATGTCTGACGTGTGTCCTGGCGATTAGGTGCCTCATTGAGGCAGTGTGGATTCGAATCTCGTACGGGACACAACTCCCCAAAAAGTACGGGATCTGTACTTTACAATGAAAGTGTTATCCAAAATATAACAATTGTTACGTTATAAAATAAACCCAGTCATTTCTTACTTGTGAACTTCCTTACAAAGTTAACTTAATTCATTGTTCCATAAGACAGGAGCCTCAAATCCAGTTAGACTTATCTATGCTTGTATGTAACATAGGTGTCCATCAAATCAGACGTCTAACAGGCATCAAACATGCGGCGCTACATGATACACGCTGGAGGATGTTACTCTATACTGACTTGTGACGTAACTTCTCATTATGTATATGTTGAATCTTGTTCCACGTGAATTCGATAGACACGTCTTAATTCCCAATAGGGGGACATGCAACTATGTACTTCAATAGTCTAAGTTTTGCTAGTTTACAACCTAAGATAAGTAGTGTCTATAAAGTTTTAACATGTTCGTCTAGTTATTTATTTTAGAATTGAAATAAAGATACTCTTACCCGAAAATTCAAACGAAGGCAAACACCATTATCGACTTGATATAGATCTCTGGCGCTGGAACTGCACAGCATTACTATTTTCGCCAAAGAAACGAAGGAAAATCTATCCGTTGCTATTTTAGCATCAAAGAATTGATCAACCTTTTCCATCTTGTGAAAAAAATGCACCGCACCAATTCAATTATACGTCTTAACTTTCACCAAAAGCCGTCTTTTTATATCACTTGTGTCCCTCTATTTCCTAGCTGCATGTAACCACGTCTGGTGGTAGTGGTTCTCAAACTTCCCCTTTCAGGTCCCTGCAGCAAACTGAAATACTAACTGCTCTAACTATAAATTAATCAAACTAAGAGTTTTTACGCTCCAATTTCGATGGAAATTTGACCCCGAGTGAACATGGTGCCCTTAATCTCCAACCAATGCCAATACCGACTGCTTGTTCCTATTGCCAACTCCTGCGGGGGTATGATTGAGATGAACGCCATTGCTTGACTTCAAAGAACTTTCTTTCCACGTCCCTACCCTCAAATGACATCATTATGATTTATTTATTCTTGCATCTAAATCAAAACAAGTACAATATAATAAAATATATACCGTCAACGCAGGAGTACAATCAATTTCGGCCATCCGCAGAAACAGATTCCATTGGGCTCAAAAGGCAAAACTGTGGTGAAAAACATATGAATCGACCACTGAAAATCTATTTTCTCATGGATGGAGTCGATGGAGTTACTACTTCGTTCAAATATATACGATACATTCGACTTTGTACAGTTTGATGTGCTGCCTATTATGTGTTAAGTTGGTGAAGTACGTTGGTGCCTATATTTATTTGCTATTATACATCAGGTCTAAATATTCCTTGGCTGCTAAATAATTGATAATAACGATGAAACATCATACACGTATCAAACGATTTCGGTATCTCATCGGGTACACAGGATAGATAGAGTGCTTGTGTTCGATATTGTTTTGTATCTTATAAAAGGTTATATAATGTACACAATCTCATTAAAATCTGATCTTAGTTCTCGCTACCACTCAACAACTTTGACCGACCAATGGTATGCCTAACAAGAAGTCGACAATAGCCAATCAGAAGGCAGCTTAATCGAGCTTTACGGCACAAGTTTCAAACTGGCGACTACGCTCTGAAACATATTTGACATACACTCGATTAAAAAATTAAAAACTGAACAATAGAACATTCTGGAATGGCTAATGGATGGTCTTGACTGTATGAATACAGACATAACTGTCGTTTGGAATACCCCGTGTGTTTCTTTCTTGGTTACACCATCAAAAATCACATTCCAACTGTCACTTTCATGATCTGATAAGCGATGCTCTGATTCGTCAGATGAAAGGTCGTTCTGACGTGACCCGCAATGGGATGTCCTCAGATCTTTGTAAAGCGGTAGCGAGAACGAAGATCTGATTTTAATGAGATTGATAATGTACACAACATTTCCACATTTTGAATTCTTAAATTGTGCTTTTCATTGTTTCAAGGACAGTTGGTCCTCAAATAGAGGGTCCTGGTGGATTGCGCAACATGTAGTTTTTATTTTGATCATTATCCCACGCCGGGGATCGTTCGTCAGCCACTGTGATCTAGATATGAGTAGGTGCGTGAGTTGGGTTTAACGCCGCTTTTAACAGTATTACAGTTATATCGCGGCGTGTCAGCTTAATGTGGGAGGAAAGCCCGAAGTGATGCAGGTCTCAGACGTTTACCACTTTGGTGAAACCCACGAGCACCGGTATGGTGCTGACAAACCTAGAAACATAATCGGGGCGAACCGGGATTCGAACCCATAATTATAGGTTTCTGGCGTGCCCGAGGGACGCAGCTCTGCACAGCGAATCGCGGCGCCTTAGACGACTGGGCCACCCGTGCCCCCGATCTAGACATGAACAGTTGAGGCTGGTGTTGCTGTCTGCGACGTAAACAACATTCATCCACTTAATATTCTGTGTTTAATGTATTTTCGAGTGTTAGAAAATGAATATCTGTAATAAGTGACAATAAATCATATGACAGAACATCGCAGTATATTTACTCTGGTAACGTCATTTCTTTTTCTTGGTTTCAGCTCTCATGTTGTTTGCGATTATGAAGTTGAAGACGACCCCGGCACTGACATCAAGCGTTATCCTCGGAGCTGGGATTCTGTTCTGCATACTCAGCGTTATGCAGAACTCTTACCATTGGCGAGCCGAGAAAAGCCGAGCGGACGAGGGACTACCGGTTTATGAAACCCCTCCACATTCTCATAAGACTGCGGGGGAAGTCAACGTACCTCGGAACGAGTTGTCTACCCTTGTTTGACACAACGCCGACGTTAGTGAATACATCTGACGGCATTCGGAACACTTCGGTTGGTAACGTAGAGCTTTTGCAACCGGAAATACCCGAGGAAATCCGAGTTAAAAGAAGCATTTGCGATAAAAGTGGCGCTTGAAAGAAGATAGCCTACGAGTGGTTTGTGGTTTGTTGTGGAAGTATGGATTCCACTAAAACTGGAAAAGCAAGATATTGTTAATTAATGAGATGTCATCTTGATCTATTTTCTGAAGGAGTCGGGAATCAATGTTGAAAGGCCTGGAATTAGTGGAAGGTGGTGTGATAGACAAGATATTACTAGGAGCTGTGTTGTACTAGTATCTCGATGACTGTTTGAGGATTCAAGGTGATAAAGTCAGCGAATGGAATTTTTCCACCGCCAAATGTGGAGCCATCTTGGCTATTTTGTGTGTGAGAGGAAGTCTTGGAGTGCCAGATAGCACTAGCGTCATTGACCCGGGCCGTTTACGATGGAGCTTCTGTGGGGGAATGTGTATCACTAGCGACAGACATCAAGCATCAGGACGTGACCTTGTAGTCAGGGCATGGCTTAGAGGAGGCCACCGTCGGCCGACTACCAACACGTAGTGCACAATACATTACTTACATCAATTCGATAGTTTCGGATAGATATCATTGGATTGAGGTTACATTGTAGCAGGTCGTCCTATTGAAGGTCCTCCAGTAGTTTTAACCATCCCATTTCTGATTCTTTATCCCTTTCATCATCGTCTTTGTGAATATTGTTTGAATCATCTAGAGCTTTTCTCCAGGACCATTTGCATTTAATGTATTTTTTCCAGATGTCTTGTTTTGTTGTTTAATTATAATTATCTAACCTGTATATATGTACAATTCTAATGTCAAATTAATTGTAGACCAACGTAAGCTGACGGAAGAATTGAAGACATGGATTAACCAAATTATGCATGCCATGTGTCAGTGTTAAGCTCATTATGATGTAAAGGGGGAAATTGATTTGGATTTTTTTTGTGAAAAATAATCTTATGACGAGTAAGGTCTGTGAATTTGAGAAGATTACATAAATGGATGATATGAAAGTATTTGCGCCATCAATAATTAGATAAATCGCCGTTTACTATTACTTCAACTAGAATGGTACCTAAACCACTGTTATTTTGTAATATTGCAATAGAGTTCCAAGAATTACCAATAGCGCATGATACATGTGAGGATTTGAGGAAGTATTTCGATACTTTACCGTTTTGAGGATAATCCTTACATCATTTGTTCCAGACCTACAATTTAGAAAGATAACATGTAAGATCATTATGTTACATGTGACAGTGGCAAAGTTCACTTTAATCATTCTTTGTTGATGTCACTTGAAACATTTTCAAATGTCTGTTGAAGTTTGCTAAGTATAATTAACATAACTGTAACATATATCGGGGCGATCGGGTAATCTAGTGGTTAAAGCGTTCGCTCGTCACGCCGAAGACTCGGGTTCGATTCCCGACATGGGTACAATGTGTGAAGCCCATTTCTAGTGTTCCCCGATATGATATTGCTAGAATATTCCTAAAAGCGGCGTAAAACCATACTCACTCACTCACTCACTGTAGCATATATGAACCAGCCGCTGTTGGTTTACCCTTTACTGCTGTTTGTATTTCACATATTGTGGCATGGCACAGGATATTAAAACAGCTCAAATGAGTCGAGTCAAATTTCGCTTGAGGCGTTTAACACCTATTTATGTAATGACATCAGTTAATGTCATCAGTTAATGTCATCAACAGTGGAAGTCTTCCAGCTGGATGCCTAAATAGCAAGCGTTGAATTTAACGGCCGAACAATCAGTTTCGGTCATGGTAGCCAAAAGAACAGCAAGACAATTATGTCAGGCGAGCTACGTTCATGACTCTGTTGCAGCATTTTTGCCGAACGTTATGATCTGTTGCCATGGCGACCAGTGCTTAGAGCAAAGTTGTGCAAAGTCACTGTGTAAAAACGATATGTGCTTTAATGACAACTACAGGTTTAATTGACTTTGGAAATGGAATCATATTTTTTTCTGGTTGATCATGGCCCGAAGCAGAAATGAATTTAATGTGTGATGGTTGGAGGGATGAGCTTTATAGTCCTAAACCCGTCGAAATATGTGATGTATTTCCCATTTGAAAATACAAGAAAAGAAAATATGCTGTTATTAGAACATAATTTGCTAGAGCACATGGATCATTTTTACTCGTACCAAACGAAAAACGTTGAATCAGTATGCAAGGACGTGATGAAAGCGTTTTCCAGATTCCAAAGTGAAGAAATTTGCGTTGACCGTTTCCGAGAATGACACGCAGATGAATTTAAAACTTATCTTCCAATCCTAAGATATAGGGATTTATTAGTAGCAAATGTATATTGTACACCAACAAAACCAAACTAGTATTGTAAAAAATCAATAGCATATTTTAGAGCAATGCATAGTGTTTTAAGAGTTGATCCCCATGTTATGAAGTATAAAGAGTTTAATTGAAATAAAAGTCAGCTGCAGGATAATCCTAGGTAGTAATATTATCTGAAATATAAGCAAACTTTCTATGTGGAGAACATATTTCAGTTTCAAAATCTTATTTAACTAACACTATTTAAAGTTATCCTGTACACAAGTGTAACAACGCACAATACCTCATCATCGATATGGACCCTTATTCTAAGTCCAGTTTAAGCCCCCTTGAAGTATGAGTAATTGACGTTTATCGCGTGTCGAGTCCACAGAGATTGGCACTTAGCATGAAAGGCGGTTCTGAAGAGTATCTGTTCTATCTCGTACATTATGGGAGGACGTATATCAAAATTGCGAGCTTGGAAATTACGACCCATGCTTATTTACTGAACTCAACACTCATATGAATTCATATTCATGGTTGACCTTTTCCTTCTTTACGAAACAGCACAACAGAGCTTATGCTTAGAAACCCCAACAGAACGAATCCTTAGAAACCAAAACTTCTCTAACGATTTTTGGCTGAGGCTTAGGATAATTGGAAAATATTTTCCAGGTTGGCTCAGGAGTTCTGGCAATAAAGAAACCTGCCTCCCGAACATCGCTTCAAACAGTACAAGCGGCCGCCAATACACGCCTGTCGTGAGTCTAAGGGATCAATATTTGACTCTCGGGGACTGTTTCTGGGGAAATTCCACTTTTTTTTGACTGCCAGGAACGATGGTACCTTCACTGACAAATTGGTTCGCCTCTCGCTTTGTAATTCAAGCTCAGATTAGGTTGCAGTTGGACACTGGAACCCAGACAGGGGGAAATTGGTTTTGTGTGTCGAAGAGAGGAAGTCTGAATTAATCTGAATACTCTGAAGTTGTGATAAAATGGTAAAAACTTGACTGTCAGACGTTGAAGACGGCTGAAATGCTGGGGCAGGCGAATGATCATATTACATGATTAACACTTGCATTTAGCTTCATTGCAATCAGTTATAATTCATTTATAGTTTCAGTTTAGAAACATGGATGAAATATATCATCTTGCGCTTTCATAATTCGTCAGTCTTTGATATCCCTGATTGATAAAATGATAAAAGAAGAGTCGTTTTGGTTTAATGAGAACTGATAGCAGTATCAAAGAAAAGTAAATGACATGCATTTCAGAGAATGTTGGACGTATTAAAGAAAACAAATAATTTCCGTTTAACCAATTCCTATTAATCCTTATGAAATGTTAATCAAATTTAAGTGTAAAGAAAATAAAAGAAATGGTAATATTAATGGGTCCTTTAAGAAGAATTGATACTTTGCAATCGGAGCCCCTTTGAGTCACTCTAGGTTATAACTAATGACACAAGTGTCAAACAAATCTATTCAAGAATAATCAGGAACAACAGCAACGGTTCGGAGATGAGATCCGGCGAAAGGTGGCAGCAATATATTTGACTTATGCGAACGAAGCCGTTTTTGATAGAGCGGCTCTCTGTAATGGACAAGTTCAATTGACACCTCACACAAGTGAATTCTTTGACAAGTATAATGGTGAATTTCGGTAATTTTCAATAAATAAACATGAGGTAGGACGTGTTCTTAAAGCTGTAATTTCTGTTTCCTGGCATTCCTAATTGAGGTTGACCCCTTGCCAAAATAGAACGTGGAATGCCAGGTGAACTGAAGAAACACGGGGCTCTCAAAAGTCGGAGACACTTTAAAGGCCTCAAGGCTAACAGAACGTGAAGTGTATACATTTTAAGGATTAATATTACCATCGATGTTGGATGATCTGGGTTTCTTCTGTAATGTCTTTTAATAGAACATATATAATCGCAAGAATTTGAAGAAGTACACAAAGCTGTTGAAATAACATTGTTAGAACATAAGACCCATCCAGAGAAGCATTTGCCTCCAGTGGTTTCACGTCATGAACAGTAACGACCGCGATCAGAACCGTCGTTGTTGGTGTCTACATTTCAGCTGAGATAGCTCGTTACGAATCTCAGAGATCATGATGTAACAACTGGACTGTGGTCAGTGTCACTGGATGTAGTTCTCGATGACTGCGTGTCTGCTGATTAGGTTCGTTAGTGAACATATTCAGAGGTTCTGAACAACTGAATTCTTGATCCATAAGCGCAAACCAAACGCGTACATCTAAACGACAACCACTAACGATCCTGGCTTTTTTAACCGTTGAACTATGGACAGGTTTTGAGATTCTTGAGAACATTACGTCAAAATTATCCTGAATAAGGATGAACTATTAGTCTTTATTATATTGGTTAGTTCTTTCAAACAACGTGAAGGTTCATACATCTATACTCCCAACTGTAGTGAGCGTTTGGAAACCAAGGTCCAGGAAAAATGGAAGAAGGCCGGCTACTTCACTGATTTGAGTGAACTTCAATGGTAGAATCTTGAAGGTCCAAAGTGGTTTATAGTAGGTTGGAGTTTTTCTTAATAATAACATTAAAAGATGAATGAATTCTGCTACTCCCAAGTGGTTCCTATTTTGCAACACGTGTAGTAGTTTACCCGACGGTTCGTATTGGCAAGGTTCGGCGGTCACCTGAAAATGAATTGCAGTAGCTTTTGAAATTTTGGAATCATTTTCGTAAACAGATTTAATCACATGGCTGCCTGGAGTGACTGCATTCGACGAGGGAATTATCACGGGCAGATCTAAAATCATTCATCCACTGAATGAAAAGCAGTATTACGTTTTGATGATCGTATATGAAATGGGACCTGACGGACAAAAGAACCTTTGAGGTCGAAACATCAAGTTTTGGTCTTTACGTTTATCATTCCGATTTACGCAGAGACATTTAGTTGCTTGCTTCCAAATAAAACGAAGAGGTCATAAATCTACGAAAACAAGTTCATGGAATTACAAATGATAATTACAAACCTAGACCAAATTTTCGACGTTTCCTGTCATACGCGATGAAAGACCAACTGCATGCAATATAGGCGATCCTGACACACGTTGAAAGACCAACTGCATGCAATATAGGCGATCCTGACACACGTTGAAAGACCAACTGCATGCAATATAGGCGATCCTGACACACGTTGAAAGACCAACTGCATGCAATATAGGCGATCCTGACACACGTTGAAAGACCAACTGCATGCAATATAGGCGATCCTGACACACGTTGAAAGACCAACTGCATGCAATATAGGCGATCCTGACACACGTTGAAAGACCAACTGCATGCAATATAGGCGATCCTGACACACGTTGAAAAAGCTTAGATTTGGAACCTGATCTTCCGGTGTTTTATCAGACTGCGTATTCTTTGAAAAGTCTCGACCTTCATATAAATGAGATGATTTAGATATATACGAGATCATTTATAGATTTTCCATGTTTGCAGCATTTTGATAACACCAGGATGCGCCACGAAAAGTTTCATGTTCATCTAAATATCCACTATTGTTGATTATTGAGAGCGTATATAAATACCACAGAATCTTGTTACCGAAAGGCATATATATAGCTTCTCCGCTTGTATTCTCAAAATCAATTGAAATATGTCAAGACTGTTTAAGAAAACGTTTCGTGAAAAATCACTGAGGTGGAAATCATTCAGCTAGGATATTTGTCATAAACCGAACTGGAAGCCTTGCCGTGGTTATCTCCAGACTATGGCATTATGTCAGTGAACAGGACTTGCAGCAGTTGTTGGACTTTAATCGACGTGTGGCCAGGCTGACTTAAATAGTCACTAATCGTTTGCAAATGCAAATATCTCCTTAGCTCGTTAGGAACAGTATCAATCATATTAAAAGCCACACTGACACCGAATATGAATCAATGGCCATGCAATTTTAGATGGTCGGTTTCTGTTGATATTGTACCACGTAACTTAACCCCCGTGTACAGGAATACTACCATCAGTAGCATCAATGTGCTAGAATACGTCCTCATATTGTCCTTATCGAGCTCCACTGCTGAGCTTGATGCTTCAGCTATTACTCTATGCTGCTTTATAAATAAATTATTCTAACAGCACCCATTGGTTTGTTGTGAGGAATCCGGGAATAATATGTCTACAGTGGACTGTTTCCGTTCATTACACTGTTCCATCTTCAGAACATTCATCAAGTGGGATATTTGACCAAAGGCGAAGCCTTGTTAACAATGAGTGAGTTGGTGAAGTTTGACGCCGCTTTGAACACTATTTCAGTCCCGTGTCATCAAATAGTGGGAGTGCCATCCTCTGTGACGCATTTGATCTAGCTGTTTCCCACTTTGTTGTACCAAAGTCTGGGACCTGGACCAGTCGGCGGATCATCAAGAGATGCATATTATCACAGCGTTCCAAAATGTGGGTTTCAAAATGTCTGCTGGGTTAACATGTGGACGTCTAACCACCTCAGTGCTACCGAATTGATTTCACACAGCTGCCTTCTGTCAGACCTTGGCTTGATTGATCAAGGCCAATATTTCATCCGGTAACCTACTATCTGTCCAAATCCTAGATTACACGCTCCAACCTACTGCTCGTCCATTGTTTACCCGGCCAAGGTCTAGCTTACATACTGCAACCTGTCACACCTAGGTTATCCCGATCAAAGCCTAGATTACACACATCAATCGCATACTAACGGACCTCGGTTTGCCTGACCAAGGCCTAGATCACACATTTTAATCTAGTGACAGACCTTGGTTTGCCTGACCAAGGCCCAGATTACACACTGCAAGATGTCAGACCTCGGTTTGCCTACCCAAGGCCTATATCACATAATGTAGCCTGTCACACTGTAATCACCTTCAGACCTTGGATTGCATAATCGAGACCTTGATCACACACTGCAGCCTACGGACAGTCCATTGTTTGCGTGACCAAGGCCATGATCACACACTACAACCTACTGTCGGACCTTAGTTTCCCTGGTCTATTTCTTGATTACACACCGCAATCTACTGTCAGTCTATCATCTCATCAAGCCTAGATCACATACTCCTACTTACAGACCTGGGTTTACCTCAACAAGGCCCAGATTACACAGTACACTACAACCTACCAGTTCGGTTTCCCTGATCCAGGCCTAGATAACACGCTGCAACTTGACAGACAGCGGTATAGCTAACCAATGTCTATACACACGGCGATCTCCTTGTTATCTCGTTGTTCACCTGATCAAGGCCCAGATTACACACTGCAACCTACTGTGAGCGAGTGAGTGAGTGAGTTGGGTTTAACGCCGTTTTTAACAGTATTCCAGTTATATCACGGCGTGTCAGCTTAATGTGGGAGGAAAGCCCGAGGTGATGCAGGTCTCAGACGTTTACCACTTTAATGAAAGCCACGAGCACGGGTATGGTGCTGAAAAACCTAGAAACTTAAATCAGGGCGAACCGGGATTCGAACCCACAATCATAGGTTTCTGGCGTGCCCAAGGGACGCAACTCTGCACAGCGAAACGCGGTGCCTTAGACAACTGGGCCACCCGTGCCCCCTGCAACCTACTGTCAGTCCGTTGTTTACCTGATCAAAGCCCAGATTACACAACGCAACCTACTGTCAGTGAGTTGATTTATATGCCAGACCCCCGAATGGAATATGTTGTTTTCATAACAGAAATAAGGGACAAATTAAGACAAACTCATGTTAGACCGTGGTTTGCTGGAAGCCAGGATTCCACACTGTGACTTATTTCATATCCCAGTTTGCCTGAACAAGGACTTGACTGCATATTCCAAACAAAGCCATTACACGTCTGTTAAAATACTTCTGACAAGAGCAAATACTCTTTCCACAGTATTCCAACGGGGACAAAAAAAAGAAGAAAAAACGTATCATATAGTATGAAGACAATATTTAATCATAAGAACTAAAATGTTTCTTGCAAGACATGTCAAGAAGAGCATAAACGACCATACAAATAGAAGAGCACATAGCAAAACTTCATATTAACAACAATGTGCACCCAAAGCAACTAGTCCACAATGCCGTCATCATTATGTCACATATCATGAGAGAGTCACAATACATTTTTTTCAAAGTATCAGCCTTAGGCTTCTGGCCAGTTGCTGAAGTCACAGACTGAGCTATGTATCTATGTGTAGTACATACAAAATATGTCAAGGCGTGTCCATTCATTTGAACAATGCCAAAGCACAGAGGAAGAATGTACAGTAGCTTGCAAACAATCACGACCAAGATATGTAGTAAAGAAGGTAAACATTACACCTGTCTCCATCATCACACACATGGGATACATACTGCTGCCGATGCCAACTGAGGTCTTCACAAATATCCAAGTGCAGTAGAGTGTTTCCTGTCTGTCTGTCTCAAACAGTAGTGCTGCTAGTGTTAGGGTTGCTGCAGTACGACTCTTATCTACATAACTAACACCAGTCTCCATGGCCTTGCAGGCATTACGTAACTATCAACTGACACAGCTGAGGACACTCTCCACAAACACTGCCATCAGTCTCCATGGCCTTGCAGAACTACATGACTATCAACTGACACAGCTGAGGACACTCTCCACAAACACTGCCATCAGTCTCCATAGCCTTGCAGAACTACATGACTATCAACTGACACAGCTGAGGACACTCTGCCGCAAACACTGCCATGAGTCTCCATAGCCTTGCAGAACTACGTAACTATCAACTGACACAGCTGAGGACACTCTCCGCAAACACTGCCATCAGTCTCCATAGCCTTGCAGAACTACGTAACTATCAACTGACACAGCTGAGGACACTCTCCACAAACACTGCCATCAGTCTCCACAGCCTTGCAGAACTACATGACTATCAACTGACACAGCTGAGGACACTCTCCACAAACACTGCCATCAGTCTCCATAGCCTTGCAGAACTACATAACTATCAACTGACACAGCTGAGGACACTCTCCACAAACACTGCCATCAGTCTCCATAGCCTTGCAGAACTACATAACTATCAACTGACACAGCTGAGGACACTCTCCACAAACACTGCCATCAGTCTCCATAGCCTTGCAGAACTACATAACTATCAACTGACACAGCTAAGGACACTCTCCACAAACACTGCCATCAGTCTCCATAGCCTTGCAGAACTACATAACTATCAACTGACACAGCTAAGGACACTCTCCACAAACACTGCCATCAGTCTCCATGGCCTTGCAGCACTACATAACTATCAACTGACACAGCTGAGGACACTCTCCACAAACACTGCCATCAGTCTCCATGGCCTTGCAGCACTACATAACTATCAACGGACACAGCTGAGGACACTCTCCACAAACACTGCCATCAGTCTCCACAGCCTTGCAGAACTACATGACTATCAACTGACACAGCTGAGGACACTCTCCACAAACACTGCCATCAGTCTCCATAGCCTTGCAGCACTACATAACTATCAACTGACACAGCTGAGGACACTCTCCACAAACACTGCCATGAGTCTCCATAGCCTTGCAGGACTACATAACTATCAACGGACACAGCTGAGGACACTCTCCACAAACACTGCCATCAGTCTCCACAGCCTTGCAGAACTACATGACTATCAACTGACACAGCTAAGGACACTCTCCACAAACACTGCCATCAGTCTCCATAGCCTTGCAGAACTACATAACTATCAACTGACACAGCTGAGGACACTCTCCACAAACACTGCCATCAGTCTCCATGGCCTTGCAGCACTACATAACTATCAACTGACACAGCTGAGGACACTCTCCACAAACACTGCCATCAGTCTCCATAGCCTTGCAGCACTACATAACTATCAACTGACACAGCTGAGGACACTCTCCACAAACACTGCCATCAGTCTCCATAGCCTTGCAATCCTACATAACTATCAACGGACACAGCTGAGGACACTCTCCACAAACACTGCCATCAGTCTCCACAGCCTTGCAGCACTACATAACTATCAACTGACACAGCTGAGGACACTCTCCACAAACACTGCCATCAGTCTCCACAGCCTTGCAGCAGTCAAGTTAATTTTACACCAGTCCACTGGATTCTGGCAGGCAACTGGAACCAATGTGTATGTTTATTATCCTTTATTTGCATTCTGTATAATAAACTTATGAAACTCAAAATTGTTTATGTATTTTGATAAAACCACTAAATGAGATTCAAGAAATGTTTCCTTTCCAAACTGAAACCTTTCTCCTGAAGTGATATCCTTTCCTCGACTAGTAACACTTGGACTGCTTATTTTCATAAAAGTTTCATAATATTTTCATGATACTTTGTTCATACTATTGTATTATTTCACTAAAATTATGGGACAACTATATTTAAATGCCTTAGGTGTGCAATTAGTTTTGAAATGCACACTGACAAGCTTTATGAGTAATAAGATGCATATTGTTTTGTTTTTTTATATGAAACAGGCATTGCCAGCAGGCCCTTGAAGCACATACATGCACACAAGAACAGGAAGGCACCTCTAACAAGGGACAACATCATCAGGTGGTAAAAAAGATAACAGACGGTTTTCAGGCAATGATTTCAAACACATTGTTTTGTGTTGTAGTCTCTTTTTTGTTGAAATATCATAGAAAAATGCCCTGCCTGGTCTCAAAATTGATCTTTTTTTTGACAACCAGAAATCCTACAGGATTTATGCTCACCTGGATACTGCATGGCTAGATACTTGAACACGCTCTATGAGAAACCATGCTATAGGCTCTGACTCCATCTTCTCACTACACTACATCCCGCATATATACTAGGCATGCAGTTGTTATTTAGTTGACATTTGTATTTAATGACCTTATAAACATAAGACTTCAGACTATTAATATTAAACAAATTTAATCCATTCTTCAAATGATCATACTAAAATATATCAATTTTGTTTTTGAATGGGCACACAGATCAAACACAAAAATACATGGAGAAATATAATAGAGCATATAGTAACCTCCTATTACAAAACCCAGATATAACATATATACCAAAAGAATACAAAAATGCAAAACATTGCATAGCCATGTTCCATCGTAGTATTTTCCAAATGGCTGCCATAACAGCCATACTGACATTATCAGATTAAGATTCTTTGAACTTCTAGTGCGACGATTTGGTAGGATTATCAAGGTTAACATTTTGTTAGATAGGCCTTGGGCCTGAAAATGAGATGCCCGTTACGATATATCAGTTGGTCGAAGGGGTATTCAAAGTTTTCTCGACAAATTGATGTAGAAATCGAGCAAAGGAAGACAAAGCACATATGTCCAGACTCCAGACCCATAATATTGCACATGGATACATGCATGAACAGATGAGTAATGGTCTACAACAGGACAACTTGGTTGCTGTGGCAGCCGTATGGAAATATTAATCAGAATAATTTGAGGGAAGCAAAAACACATCATTAGTGGGATAATCCAAGCAAAGTATCACTGACGTAGTGGTTTCATAGGAGAACAATGGGTAAAGGAAGACGAACGTGAGGCCATGGACTGCAATATATCAACTGGTGTTTGACCTGTTGAGCTGACATACTATCATGCAGGGGATATCTCACCTGATGGAACGTTGTTTTTGTTTTCAAGGAAATACTTGTTTCCTACATGTAAGACAGTTCGTATTGTATCTATGCCACAGTGTGGAGGACATGCCAAAAGAAGAAGACAATTCCGGCATACAGAGACATCATATCGGACTCTGAACATATTGATGGTTGAACACACAGAAAAGACATTAAGAAAGAATTGGCCAAAATACAGACCTGTTCGCCATAACTTCATCTTATTATTGTTCAGATCATACCATTCTGGTCCACAACAAATACACAAGAGTTTAAACGCTCAATGTTGTCTACAGTATAGCAGGCTTGCATGCAAAACAGTGTCATAACTTTTATAACATACCATATGTTTTTTCAATAACACAAAGAAGAAGACAGAACTTACTGCCAATTGCAATAGGAATATGTACATTCAAAACACTGAGAAATGAACAACATTAATTTCAACAACACTGAGCCAGCATGACATTCCATCTATCACCAAGCCTGAAGATGTGTGTGAAGCTTGTGGATGCTGGACTCAGGGGATTACACCTCTGCAGAAACAAGAGGCAGTTTGGAAACACAAGAAATCATTGAAACAGCATCAAGAAAATAGAAACTAGGTTCACTGAGAGGAGGGCCCACTTGCGGACAGTGCTGTGACTATTGATCACAACAGTCTCTGTACAAACATTCCTTTGTGCAAATTGGCCCAGAACACTAATTTTAAATGATCTTTTAAGTAAACAAAGATAAAACATATTTGCACACTGGAATGAAGAACTAAATTCAGTTGATCACTGCTTGCAAAATATATAACAAAAGCACTTTCATATAGCAAATCAACACCTGATAGTTATAGGGTCTGCATTGTAAGATCATGCTAAATATTGTTCTAAGCTTATGTATAACAAAAGTTCATAACTAGTGCTATTTTGATTGATGTACAGTTAACAGTCTTTTAGTACAAACAATATTTAAAACAACATCTTGGATGATGTTGTGAGAAAGATTTAAAACATTGTGCCTTGACCAGTTCACAGTCAGATGACAGAAAGAAGTACAAAGGAGTTATCTCCCTCGAATGAGCAACTTGCCAACATATTTACTTCATGAATTCTTGTTTACATACATGAATTATACAGTGTTTAAATGTTTTTAGAAAAGTACAATCCCTCTATACAGTACTGATATGTTTTGTTTTTTAAGATGGTAAATAATACTTTCACTCATATATAAAGGATTTATTTTTTAGTTTCAGAAAATGTGACCATCAATCAGTTCGTAAGTCTATTACAGACTCCAGGATCACAAAGAATTATCCATCTTCTTCTCACCATTGTCAGTCACTTCTCCTTGAAATCTTGTGGGAAAACCAGATTATATCCCATCCAAGAATCATTATGACAAGATCAGTGAAACAAGAGTTTGTTCACCGAGTGTAAAAGATCGGCTCATGGTTTTACCCATACAATAATGCCCAGAGATTGTTCAACCAGAGACTAGGATGAAGAAACACAGACCAAGACATTGCTGTCAGCGACATTCTTTGAAGGTGTCTCGGTTACAAGTCTCTCTCTTTATGAACATAATCAAGTCATTCTCCTCAATACAAATATTTATCAGAATACTAAGAAAAAATATGGGTACTGTTATGAAATTGACACCAACATTTTATTATAAACCTAATCACTGGGTTTTTATAATACCCAGTACAATGGGAAGTTTGACTCAGAATTACCAGGATTCAAAGAATCAAGAAAAATAGAAACAGGATGACAAAATCTTCATTCTCTTTGGTTTAGGCTAGAAATAAAAAACTCCTTAAAGATTGGTACTGACATGGTATCACATTTTATGTTGTCAGAAATCAATATTAAAATGAGAAAATAAAGCAGTAATTTTGTTTGTTTGAAACTCCTGACCAGTAGCTTTTAACACCTTGCAACGTTTCCAATTAAGGAAATCTACCGTTTCACAACTTCCAACCTCCCTTGTCAACTACAACACATGCATCTATAGCTTAAAAATCACTGACTGGTGCTGAGTTACCATTTCCTCATGCCACTTCCTTCTTATCAACTATAACACCTGCGACAGTAGCTTTGATATTTGGTAATCTTAAGAGGACATTGCACAACTTTCCAGACTCAGTTAAGGCTAGTGTCAGTCAGCCACTCGCAGTAACTTCATGGCACAAAACTTTCCAGATTTACAGTACTACTGAACATGTGAGAAGGATACAGGGCTATTTCATGTTATGTATTAACTAGAGGATGGCAACTGGTGTACTACCAGCCTGCACACTCAGGATATCCTTATCAAATGTTGAGTAGTATAAATGTATGGACTGCTGTATAAAAATGAATAAAATATTTAAAAAATATATGCTTGGATGTAAACATCACTGGTCAACCAATCATTTGTCGTTAAAACATTAGGAGTTTGTTGCATATCAATGTCTAGAATATTGTCTGGTTGTGCATATAGTGAAGCTTATTGTCTGGCTGACCCGACATCAAGGTATGTCATCACTGTCTGTACTGCTTCAGCCCCAGTTAAAGAAGTGTCAGGCCCCATTAAAAATCAGATATAAAAAACCCATCCCATCATAAAGCTGTCATAAAATAAGCTATGAATCATATCAACAAAAACAAACTCAGGTTAATTTGCAACTCTTTAGAGGAACACAGTATCTCCACTGGAGCAGGTCATCACAGCATGGCCAAACACTTGATGGCTGTGTTGATGGCTGTTGTTGTATCCGAGGTGAATATATCTGCTTGCCATAGGAACTCAATGTCAATAGCTAGGATCTCCCAGTAAACTGACTTGCAGTGTCTTCTTCTTGAGACCAATATATTACCTGTAGCAGTCACATGCTTTATCATCAAACTAACTTCTTGAGCTGCTTGAATCTTAGCAAATCGATATTGTACTAAACATGGTACTGACCACATAAACAAAGACTCATGAAGTATGTCAATATCTAGAAATGTTTAACATATGTGTATCTAGATATCAACTTATTATCAAATTATGAACCCCAGTGACATATGGTGATGTTATGATCACTGAAGTATGGATGATCAAGTTTGGTGGGAGGTCCAACCTCATGTCTGCTCTATGTCCACTTCAGTCAGCATAGCCTGAAACAAGAGAAACACAAGCTTCACTACCACTTTCAGTAGTTTTCTTTTATTCCAGGAACCTTCCTTTTCTGTTCTCATTCAGTGACAAACACTCCAAACTGAACACAGGCATGAGTGGCCCTTGCAGGTACTGGTAAGGTTAAGTTGCCATCATTAATCATGTTTGAAAGAGGAAGAAAATACAGTATCAGCCACATCATGCAGTTGGTATCATCTGAGTTGCACACAAGATGCAGCACACAAACATCACTTTCATAGTTAACGACCGTTTCCATGGTCTAGTGGTAGAGCATCCGCCCAGAGAGCAGAAGGTCTGGGGTTCAATCCCCAGTTGCATCATACCAAAAGAAATTAAAATATGGTACTTGTTACCCTGTCTGGCGCTCGGCATTAGTGTCTGAAACAAGTACTGGCTGGCTCAGTGAGTGAGTGAGTGAGTGAGTGAGTATGGTTTTATGCCGCTTTTAGCAATATTCCAGCAATATCACGGCGGGGGACACCAGAAATGGGCCTGGCTGGCTCCGAGTCAGTATACTATGTCTGTGTGGGTTTTTCATGTTAAACTACTGCATCTCAGTGGGCTAGCACTATAAAATTGGAGTCAGTCCGGACTAGTATGAGCAGCCACACACACACACATGCATGCACATCGCTACATAAGTGCAATAATCTTGGTCACAAGGTTAAACCCCATTTCACTTCACCCCACCATAGTTGACATGTTTACGACCAGACTGTTTTGTGTTTTCTTTTGTTTATGGATTTTTGGCCCAAAAATTCAAGTCAATGGGCTCAAAATATATTCTTAAAATTTGCAATTTCAAGTATACTTTTGATCCTCAAAATGTCAAGTAGGTAGAAAAGAAGTTAATAAGTGGGGATGGAAGTTTTTAAGCTAAATTTCCAACAGGTCTTAATTATAACATATTTTATTTTTTGTATATTGCTAGTGGGTTTGTTGTTCTCAATTCTACCATGACCTTAAAGAATGATTCTGATTAGTTGAAACAAGGTCTCAATTTTCAGATCTTTTAAATTAAGCCTTTCACATGTAAATTGTCCATATAAATACATCAAATACATCATAACATGGCATTTCTTGACTAAGAGACACTAGAAGCTGGTGGTATATGTGATAAGGGATAGTAGCAGCTGGTGGTATATGTGATAAGGGATACTAGCAGCTGCTGGTATATGTGATAAGGGATACTAGAAGCTGGTGGTATATGTAATAAGGGATAGTAGCAGCTGGTGGTATATGTGATAAGGGATACTAGAATCTGGTGGTATATGTGATAAGGGATAGTAGCTGCTGGTGGTATATGTAATAAGGGATAGTAGCAGCTGGTGGTATATGTGATAAGGGATACTAGCAGCGGGTGGTATATGTGATAAATAAGGGATACCAGCAGATGGTGGTTCATGTATATGATATAAGAGATACTAGAAATTGGTGGTATGTGTGATAAGGGATACTACCAGCTGGTGGTATATCAAATAAATAAGGGATACTAGAAGCTGTGATATATGTGATAAGGGATACTAGCAGCTGCTGGTATATGTGATAAGAGATACAAGAAGCTGGTGGTAAGTGTGATAAGGGACACTACCAGCTGCTGGTATAATCATGTGACACAGCTGCCTCAAACATAACTTACATTAGCAACAGGGGCTGTCTTCGTCACTTGACAGTCAACAACAGATGACTCCAGGGCGCCGAGGTCTGGGAACCCCGCACCTGAAACACACAAACTCACTATTCCAAAATATTTACACATAAATATGCATTTTCTACTTCCCATGTTAACTGCAATGTCATTTGTAAAACCTCAAATGACAATATGACTGGAATAATAGAGGCCAAGGACAACGTATCAGATGAACTCTTGATTACATCCCCCTCAACATCTCTTATCTATCATATTCTTTCAGTTCACAGAGCCAATCCTCATAGGACAAGCATGATGTACCCATGACCAATTCTTACCTTTGGGTTCCCCCAAGGTTACACTTTCATGCATGCTACAGCTGTCCTACCTGTAATAGTGAATGGTCGGGCCATGGGAGGGAGTTCCCAAAACTTGGGGGGTACCACGCAAGTCTCATATGGTTGCACACGCTCGATGTTCCCATAGTCAACGAAAAACACCTTCATCTTCTCATTCTGTCGGAGAGAGGTTTTCAGAACCCAGGCTCTGAAACAAATTCAGGCCTGAGTGAAAGGAATTTCACAGCTGTTGATGATGACTTTCAGTCAGAATTCTTTGTACCATTAAGATGGTCCTATGGAACATACCTGTGCCCTCCCATTCATACAACTAAAATGGTCAGTCAGAATTCTTCATACAATCAGTCAGCCAGAAGCCACCTGTGCCACTCCCCTTCATACCCTACAGACAGAATCCACTTGTGCCACTCCCCTTCATACCCTACAGACAGAATCCACTTGTGCCACTCCCCTTCATACCCTACAGACAGAATCCACTTGTGCCACTCCCCTTCATACACTGCAGTGAGAACCCACCTGTATCACTCCCCTTCATACAATGCAGTGAGAACCCACCTGTGCCTCTCCCCTTCATACACTGCAGTGAGAACCCACCTGTATCACTCCCCTTCATACACTGCAGTGAGAACCCACCTGTATCACTCCCCTTCATACACTGCAGTGAGAACCCACCTGTATCACTCCCCTTCATACACTGCAGTGAGAACCCACCTGTATCACTCCCCTGCATACACTGCAGTGAGAACCCACCTGTATCACTCCCCTTCATACACTGCAGTGAGAACCCACCTGTATCACTCCCCTTCATACACTGCAGTGAGAACCCACCTGTGCCTCTCCCCTGCATACACTGCACTGAGGACCCACCTGGATCACTCCCCTTCATACACTGCAGTGAGAACCCACCTGTGCCTCTCCCCTGCATACACTGCACTGAGGACCCACCTGTATCACTCCCCTTCATACACTGCAGTGAGAACCACCTGTGCCTCTCCCCTTCATACACTGCAGTGAGAACCCACCTGTATCACTCCCCTTCATACACTGCAGTGAGAACCCACCTGTGCCTCTCCCCTGCATACACTGCACTGAGAACCCACCTGTATCACTCCCCTTCATACACTGCAGTGAGAACCCACCTGTGCCTCTCCCCTTCATACACTGCAGTGAGAACCCACCTGTATCACTCCCCTTCATACACTGCAGTGAGAACCCACCTGTATCACTCCCCTTCATACACTGCAGTGAGAACCCACCTGTGCCTATCCCCTTCATACACTGCACTGAGAACCACCTGTATCACTCCCCTTCATACACTGCACTGAGGACCCACCTGTATCACTCCCCTTCATACACTGCAGTGAGAACCACCTGTGCCTCTCCCCTTCATACACTGCAGTGAGAACCACCTGTATCACTCCCCTTCATACACTGCAGTGAGAACACACCTGTATCACTCCCCTTCATACACTGCAGTGAGAACCACCTGTGCCTCTCCCCTTCATACACTGCAGTGAGAACCCACCTGTATCACTCCCCTTCATACACTGCAGTGAGAACCCACCTGTGCCTATCCCCTTCATACACTGCAGTGAGAACCCACCTGTATCACTCCCCTTCATACACTGCAGTGAGAACCCACCTGTGCCTATCCCCTTCATACAATGCAGTGAGAACCCACCTGTATCACTCCCCTTCATACACTGCAGTGAGAACCCACCTGTGCCTATCCCCTTCATACACTGCAGTGAGAACCCACCTGTATCACTCCCCTTCATACACTGCACTGAGGACCCACCTGTATCACTCCCCTTCATACACTGCAGTGAGAACCCACCTGTGCCTATCCCCTTCATACACTGCACTGAGAACCACCTGTATCACTACCCTTCATACACTGCACTGAGGACCCACCTGTATCACTCCCCTTCATACACTGCAGTGAGAACCACCTGTGCCTCTCCCCTTCATACACTGCAGTGAGAACCACCTGTATCACTCCCCTTCATACACTGCAGTGAGAACCACCTGTATCACTCCCCTTCATACACTGCAGTGAGAACCCACCTGTGCCTCTCCCCTTCATACACTGCAGTGAGAACCCACCTGTATCACTCCCCTTTATACACTGCAGTGAGAACCCACCTGTATCACTCCCCTTCATACACTGCAGTGAGAACCACCTGTATCACTCCCCTTCATACACTGCACTGAGAACCCACCTGTATCACTCCCCTTCATACACTGCAGTGAGAACCCACCTGTATCACTCCCCTTCATACACTGCAGTGAAAACCACCTGTATCACTCCCCTTCATACAATGCAGTGAGAACCCACCTGTATCACTCGCCTTCATACACTGCAGTGAGAACCCACCTGTGCCTATCCCCTTCATACACTGCAGTGAGAACCCACCTGTATCACTCCCCTTCATACACTGCACTGAGAACCACCTGTGCCTCTCCCCTTCATACACTGCACTGAGGACCCACCTGTATCACTCCCCTTCATACACTGCACTGAGGACCCACCTGTATCACTCCCCTTCATACACTGCAGTGAGAACCCACCTGTGCCTATCCCCTTCATACACTGCAGTGAGAACCCACCTGTATCACTCCCCTTCTTACACTGCACTGAGAACCACCTGTATCACTACCCTTCATACACTGCAGTGAGAACACACCTGTGCCTCTCCCCTTCATACACTGCAGTGAGAACCCACCTGTATCACTCCCCTTCATACACTGCAGTGAGAACCCACCTGTATCACTCCCCTTCATACACTGCAGTGAGAACCCACCTGTGCCACTCCCCTTCATACACTGCAGCACATCGCCCAAGGCCCTTCGTTCTGGCCAGATGGTTATCTGTATCTTGCAAGTCAAGGATCAGTCGCTTCAAGGCCTTCAGGTTCTCCATCTCAAATAAGAAAATACGTAAATATCAAGTTGCAGGTTGAATTCAAATAAACTTTGATGCACACTGAACAAATATCCGCTTATTGCAGGTGCATCTTCAGAACCATTTTAAACCAACACTATTTCTCTCTATAATATGACACAACAAGAGCATGAAAATATCTCAGCAGACCCTAACTCAATAAAATAGGCATCCTGCAATTTATTGGAAGCAGTCAATTTCTGAAACCCAGGTCACCACCTTCCCATATCTCGCTGACCACCTGCCCCCAGGTCTCCATCTTCCCCTACCTCACTTACCACCTGACCCAGGTCTCCATCTTCCCTAAACTCACTGACCACCTGCCTCAGGTCTCCATCTTCCCTAACCTCACTGACCACCTGCCCCAGGTCTCCATCTTCCCTTATCTCACTCACCACCTGCCCCAGGTCTCCATCTTCCCTTATCTCACTGACCATCTGACCCAAGTCTCCATCTTCCCTTACCTCACTGACCACCTGCCCCAGGTCTCCATCTTCCCTTATCTCACTGACCATCTGACCCAGGTCTCCATCTTCCCTTATCTCACTGACCATCTGACCCAGGTCTCCCTCTTCCCCTATCTCACTGACCACCTGCCCCAGGTCTCCATCTTCCCCTATCTCACTGACCACCTGCCCCAGGTCACCATCTTCCCTTACCTCACTGACCACCTGACCCAGGTCTCCATCTTCCCCTATCTCACTGACCACCTGCCCCAGGTCACCATCTTCCCTTATCTCACTGACCATCTGACCCAGGTCTCCATCTTCCCTTACCTCACTGACCACCTGCCCCCAGGTCTCCATCTTCCCTAACCTCACTGACCACCTGCCCCCAGGTCTCCATCTTCCCTTACCTCACTGACCACCTGCCCCCAGGTCTCCCTCTTCCCTAAACTCACTGACCACCTGCCCCAGGGTCTCCATCTTCCCTAAACTCACTGACCACCTGACCTAGGTCTCCCTCTTCCCTTATCTCACTGACCATCTGCCCCAGGTCTCCATCTTCCCTAAACTCACTGACCACCTGCCCCCAGGTCTCACTCTTCCCTAAACTCACTGACCACCTGACCTAGGTCTCCCTCTTCCCTTATCTCACTGACCACCTGACCCAGGTCTCCATCTTCCCATATCACACTGACCACCTGCCCCCAGGTCTCCATCTTCCCTAAACTCACTGACCACCTGCCCCCAGGTCTCCCTCTTCCCTAAACTCACTGACCACCTGACCTAGGTCTCCCTCTTCCCATATCTCACTGACCATCTGCCCCAGGTCTCCATCTTCCCTTACCTCACTGACCACCTGCCCCAGGTCTCCATCTTCCCTTACCTCACTGACCACCTGCCCCCAGGTCTCCATCTTCCCTAACCTCACTGACCACCTGCCCCCAGGTCTCCATCTTCCCTTACCTCACTGACCACCTGCCCCCAGGTCTCCCTCTTCCCTAAACTCACTGACCACCTGCCCCCAGGTCTCCCTCTTCCCTAAACTCACTGACCACCTGACCTAGGTCTCCCTCTTCCCTTATCTCACTGACCACCTGCCCCAGGTCTCCATCTTCCCTAACCTCACTGACCACCTGACCCAGGTCTCCATCTTCCCTTACCTCACTGACCACCTGCCCCAGGTCTCCATCTTCCCTTACCTCACTGACCACCTGCCCCCAGGTCTCCATCTTCACGAACCTCACTCACCATCTGACCCAGGTCTCCATCTTCCCTTACCTCACTCACCACCTGCCCCAGGTCTCCATCTTCCCATACCTCACTGACCACCTGCCCCAGGTCTCCATCTTCCCTTACCTCACTGACCACCTGCCCCAGGTCTCCATCTTCCCTTACCTCACTGACCATCTGACCCAGGTCTCCATCTTCCCTTACCTCACTGACCACCTGCCCCCAGGTCTCCATCTTCCCTTACCTCACTGACCATCTGACCCAGGTCTCCATCTTCCCTTACCTCACTCACCACCTGCCCCAGGTCTCCATCTTCCCATACCTCACTGACCACCTGCCCCAGGTCTCCATCTTCCCTTACCTCACTGACCACCTGACCCAGGTCTCCATCTTCCCTAACCTCACTGACCACCTGACCCAGGTCTCCATCTTCCCTTACCTCACTGACCACCTGCCCCAGGTCTCCATCTTCCCTTACCTCACTGACCACCTGACCCAGGTCTCCATCTTCCCTTACCTCACTGACCACCTGCCCCAGGTCTCCATCTTCCCATACCTCACTGACCACCTGCCCCAGGTCTCCATCTTCCCTTACCTCACTGACCACCTGACCCAGGTCTCCATCTTCCCTAACCTCACTGACCACCTGACCCAGGTCTCCATCTTCCCTTACCTCACTGACCATCTGCCCCAGGTCTCCATCTTCCCTTACCTCACTGACCACCTGCCCCCAGGTCTCCATCTTCACGAACCTCACTCACCATCTGACCCAGGTCTCCATCTTCCCTTACCTCACTCACCACCTGCCCCAGGTCTCCATCTTCCCATACCTCACTGACCACCTGCCCCAGGTCTCCATCTTCCCTTACCTCACTGACCACCTGCCCCAGGTCTCCATCTTCCCTTACCTCACTGACCATCTGACCCAGGTCTCCATCTTCCCTTACCTCACTGACCACCTGCCCCCAGGTCTCCATCTTCCCTTACCTCACTGACCATCTGACCCAGGTCTCCATCTTCCCTTACCTCACTCACCACCTGCCCCAGGTCTCCATCTTCCCATACCTCACTGACCACCTGCCCCAGGTCTCCATCTCCCCTTATCTCACTGACCATCTGACCCAGGTCTCCATCTTCCCATATCTCACTGACCACCTGCCCCAGGTCTCCATCTTCCCTTACCTCACTGACCACCTACCCCAGGTCTCCATCTTCCCTTACCTCACTGACCACCTGACCCAGGTCTCCATCTTCCTTACCTCACTGACCATCTGACCCAGGTCTCCATCTTCCCTTACCTCACTGACCACCTGCACCAGGTCTCCATCTTCCCTAACCTAACTGACCACCTGCCCCAGGTCTCCATCTTCCCTTACCTCACTGACCACCTGACCCAGGTCTCCATCTTCCCTAACCTCACTGACCACCTGCCCCAGGTCTCCATCTTCCCATACCTCACTGACCACCTGCCCCAGGTCTCCATCTTCCCCTATCTCACTGACCACCTGCCCCAGGTCTCCATCTTCCCTTACCTCACTGACCATCTGACCCAGGTCTCCATCTTCCCTAAACTCACTGACCACCTGCCCCAGGTCTCCATTATCCCTTACCTCACTGACCACCTGTCCCCAGAAGAAAGTTTCCTCCTCAGCGGCTGTCACCAGCACCTTGATGTGGCTGCCCTGCTTCAGCGCATTCCTCTTCACCTTCATCTTTAACAGTATGTGGGAGTACAGCTCCAACACTTCATATATACTCTGTTCAGACTCAGACGACACATCCTCACTTGAATAGTCCAAGGAGTCACTGACTCCGTCCAACACTTGGCTGCGGGTCATGGAGACTGGCCGGCCCCCTGCGAAGCAGTTGCGTGCCATCAGTTTCTCCCTCACCTGAGGGGTGGATCGGGGAATGTCCAGCAACAATGGCCGACCCAGGTAATCGAACTGGTTCATTTCTCGGATGGCAGCCTCAGCCTTGTCTAGATTTGGCAACAACACGTACGCTTTTGGGCTGTAATTACAACACTGATAAAAGTAAGGTTGAGAGACATATTATCAAGTAATTTATGACAAACTACCTAATGTCTCAAAACATAACATCAATATTCTCTCGCATCTGAGTTCCTTATTGTCAAGCTAGAATCTCTGCCACAAGCCAGCAGGACTTACTCAGTCCATTCACAAACATGAATGTTTTCTCCCTTTCAGTGTATAAACTTAGTTGTACAAAGGTTGTATGATTCCATGTGCTAACATCAAATTCCTTTGGATATCAAGCAATATCGTAACTTTGATGTTTAAAGAAATATTGTTACACTCTGCACTGTAACAGTTTCAGCAGGATATTGTAATATGCAAAACAATCTGTTAAACAAACTAAAAGACCTCAATAGCATTGACTTCTCCAACTTCCGTATCAGCGTGTTTCTTTACTAACAAAAGAAAAGTCCTGTCACGTGCTGTGCAAATTAGCTTGTGTCGGCGGTGTAATGCCAAGTGAACACTGCGCCTGAGTGTGTCAATCAAATAACACTTCATGCCAGAACTCAGTCCACCTTAATGTTTTGTTTGTGTATTGTTTTAACGTTGTATTCAATATTTCAGCAATATGACGGTGGTCTGTAAATAAACGACTCTGTACCAGAAAATCCAATGAGTTATATCAAGAACCTCTGTCTGCTCAACTGGGATACGAGGTACATGCAAAATCTAAGTCAACAAGCATGACCACCTGATCCTGTTAGTCGCCTCTTATGACAAGCATGGGTTTTAACCTGGATCATCACAGGTACAGCTTCCTTGGTGTCAAGCAAGCATGACCACCTGATCCTGTTAGTCGCCTCTTATGACAAGCATGGGTTTTAACCTGGATCATCACAGGTACAGGTTCCTTGGTGTCAAGCAAGCATGTCCACCTGATCCTGTTAGTCGCCTCTTATGACAAGCATGGGTTTTAACCTGGATCATCACAGGTACAGGTTCCTTGGTGTCAAGCAAGCATGACCACCTGATCCTGTTAGTCGCCTCTTATGACAAGCATGGGTTTTAACCTGGATCATCACAGGTACAGGTATCAGGTTTCTCAGACAAAGATCAGTAACAAAATGGTCACATACTTAGCATGCTTAATTTGAGAAGTAAAATATGAAAATAACTCATGAATTCCAAAATGATTACAATTATTCAGAACCACTATCACATATTATCTACAGGTACATCCGCAACATGTAGTGCTCTTGACCAAGTGCTACAACACTTGTCATGGTCTCAGATTCTTCATCAAAGCACTTGGGAACAACACTCACCACTTGTTGGCAGGGACAATGTTGACACTCACAACATCATAGCGCAAGAACAAAATGTAAAGTTCACGCTGAAAACAAATAAATTAAAATATTAGTTCTACCTTTAACCAAAGAGCTGAAGACCTCAAACTTTGAATGAATCTTAACAAACAAGTAGATGTTAAGCAAACTTACTGGTGGTGTGGACAAGATCAGGGCAGATCACAATGGTAACCCAACTTACTGGTGGTGTGGACAAGATCAGGGCAGATCACAATGGTAACCCAACTTACTGGTGGTGTGGACAAGATCAGGGCAGATCACAATGGTAACCCAACTTACTGGTGGTGTGGACAAGATCAGGGCAGATCACAATGGTAACCCAACTTACTGGTGGTGTGGACAAGATCAGGGCAGGTCACAATGGTAACCCAACTTACTGGTGGTGTGGACAAGATCAGGGCAGATCACAATGGTAACCCAACTTACTGGTGGTGTGGACAAGATCAGGGCAGTTCACAATGGTAACCCAACTTACTGGTGGTGTGGACAAGATCAGGGCAGATCACAATGGTAACCCAACTTACTGGTGGTGTGGACAAGATCAGGGCAGTTCACAATGGTAACCCAACTTACTGGTGGTGTGGACAAGATCAGGGCAGTTCACAATGGTAACTCAACTTACTGGTGGTGTGGACAAGATCAGGGCAGATCACAATGGAAAACCAACTTACTGGTGTTGTGGACGGGTGAAAGTTGGCAACAAATATGCTGACAGGCTCGTCATCCTTCCCATCCTCCACATCAACAGAATTCTCCAAGTCAGGCACTGAAGCTTCTAGCTCCGGCATTGTAGTTTCGAGTTCTGGCATTACATCTGCTGCCTCGGCCATGTGCAAGGTTGAGTTCAACTGCTGTTGCGGTTTCTGTGGTGACCTGCCCACTGGTGTAGATGTCACCATCTTCTTCCCCCTACTGTCAATGCTAATACTGATGTCCTGCATCCGGTCAGACAGATTCAGACCTCGGCCACAGCCCAAACTTGAGGAACTTTCAAAACTGTGGTTTAACTCGGAGCTGCTGGCATCCCCTCGTCGGAGGCCATCTGATGGTACAGGTCCCAAAATACCTAAAAAAGACCCCACAAAACATATCACTGGTCATGAGTAAGAGGTCAACACACTTCGTGTTCTGTATTGTATTGTGTACCTCTGCAGCATAGATGTTTCACAATTCATGGTGGGTGTTCCAGGGAAGCAATTTCAGCCACCATCAGCTTGATCAGTTGGTATATATGCATCCCACTTAATTGGAGATTTTTTAATATTTGCCAGTAATAGGCTAATAAAAATATATATATATCACAAGAGTCAAATTTGTTTGATAGGCATTACTTAGAAGTTGACGGATGACAAAGTAGACATAATTTATGGATAACAACTTCTTTAATACTGTAAAGGCAACGTTTTGGTATAGATCCTTATACCGTTGTCAAGCTTGACCATGGTATAAGGATCTATACCAAAACATCGCCTTAACGGTAATTAAAGAAGTTGTTATCCATAAATTGTGTCTACTTTGTCAAGAGTCAAATTACTGGAAATGAAATACTGCCAAGATATTCAATCACTGCGGTGCTTACAAGGTGCATACAGTGTAATATCAGTTGTTACCATCTATCTATAGTTATTTACATGAATGGCAACAATCAGAACAAATCACTAATAAATCATCAACTATTTCCTAAAATCAAATCATTGGTTTAAAATCTGATAAAACTGAATTTCCTCACTCTAGTCATCACATTTTATAGACTGAAATATCCACTTCAACGGCTGAAGCCTCAGCACTTTTTTACTATTGTTAATTGCAGGTGTATATTGAGAGTAAAGTTCGCCATATCTGTTATTTCCTTATTAATGTGTTCTTTATATCCATCAATTTTATATGATTAAATATACATCAAATGGCCAGGACAAAAGAACAACTTGTTATATCAGTCAGATTGTTATAAGTATGTTTGTTGTAAACATGGTTTACTGTGATCTTAAGCAAAAACATCGTCTCGGAACATTGTCACTTTTCAACAAAACAATGGCATGGGTGTCTCACCTGGTTTTTCCTGGTAGGTTGTTTTTTGACTGTGGTGGTTTATATCTCCCTTCATGTTTCTCCCTGATGTGGCTCCTCCGCCTGAGAAGCAAAACACAGCAAATACATAAACATACACAGACAAACAACAGCACAGACATAAATTTACACAGACAAACAACAGCACACACATAAATATAAACAGACAAACAACAGCACAGAAATAAATTTACACAGACAAACAACAGCACACACATAAATATACACACACAAACACAGCAAATACATAAACATACACAGACAAACAACAGCACACACATAAATTTACACAGACAAACAACAGCACACACATAAATATACACACACAAACACAGCAAATACATAAACATACACAGACAAACAACAGCACACACATAAATTTACACAGACAAACAACAGCACACACATAAATATACACACAAACACAGCAAATACATAAACATACACAGACAAACAACAGCACACACATAAATTTACACAGACAAACAACAGCACACACATAAATATACACACACAAACACAGCAAATACATAAACATACAGACAAACAACAGCACACACATAAATATACACACACAAACACAGCAAATACATAAACATACAGACAAACAACAGCACACACATAAATATACACACACAAACTTAGCACAAACATAAATATACACACACAAACACAGCACACACATAATTATACATACACAAACACAGCAAATACATAAACATACACAGACAAACAACAGCACATACATAAATATACACACACAAACACATCACACACATAATTATACATACATAAACACAGCACATACATATATATACACACACAAACACAGCACAAACATAAATATACACACACAAACACAGCACACACATAATTATACATACACAAACACAGCACATACATAAATATACACAGACAAACAACAGCACATACATAATCATACATACACAAACACAGCACATACATAAATATACACACACAAACAACAGCACACACATGAATATACACACACAAACAGCACACACATAATCATACATACACAAACACAGCACATACATAAATATACACACACAAACAACAGCACACACATGAATATACACACACAAACACAGCACACATAAATATACACACACAAACACAGCACACACAAATATACACACACAAATACAGCACACACATAATTATACATACACAAACACAGCACATACATAAATATACACACACAAACAACAGCACACACATGAATATACACACACAAACACAGCACACATATATATACACACACAAACACAGCACACATAAATATACACACACAAACACAGCACACACATAATTATACATACACAAACACAGCACATACATAAATATACACAGACAAACAACAGCACACACATGAATATACACACACAAACACAGCACACATAAATATACACACACAAACACAGCACACACAAATATACACACACAAATACAGCACACACATAAATATACACACACAAACAGCACACACATAAATATACACACACAAACACAGCACACACATACATATACACACACTAACACAGCACACATAATTATACATACACAAACACAGCACACACATAAATATACACAGACAAACAACAGCACATACATAATCATACATACACAAACACAGCACATACATAAATATACACACACAAACAACAGCACACACATGAATATACACACACAAACAGCACACACATAATCATACATACACAAACACAGCACATACATAAATATACACACACAAACACATCACACACATAATTATACATACACAAACACAGCAAATACATAAACATACACAGACAAACAACAGCACATACATAAATATACACACACAAACACATCACACACATAATTATACATACATAAACACAGCACATACATATATATACACACACAAACACAGCACAAACATAAATATACACACACAAACACAGCACACACATAATTATACATACACAAACACAGCACATACATAAATATACACAGACAAACAACAGCACATACATAATCATACATACACAAACACAGCACATACATAAATATACACACACAAACAACAGCACACACATGAATATACACACACAAACAGCACACACATAATCATACATACACAAACACAGCACATACATAAATATACACACACAAACAACAGCACACACATGAATATACACACACAAACACAGCACACATAAATATACACACACAAACACAGCACACACAAATATACACACACAAATACAGCACACACATAATCATACATACACAAACACAGCACATACATAAATATACACACACAAACAACAGCACACACATGAATATACACACACAAACACAGCACACATATATATACACACACAAACACAGCACACATAAATATACACACACAAACACAGCACACACATAATTATACATACACAAACACAGCACATACATAAATATACACAGACAAACAACAGCACACACATGAATATACACACACAAACACAGCACACATAAATATACACACACAAACACAGCACACACAAATATACACACACAAATACAGCACACACATAAATATACACACACAAACAGCACACACATAAATATACACACACAAACACAGCACACACATACATATACACACACTAACACAGCACACATAATTATACATACACAAACACAGCACACACATAAATATACACACACAAACACAGCACACATAATTGTACATACACAAACACAGCACACACATAAATATACACACAAATACAGCACACACATAAATATACACACACATACACAGCACACACACAAATACAGCACACACATAATTATACACACATAAACATAGCACGCACGCAAATATACACACACAAATACAGCACACACATAAATATACATACATAAACAGCACATACATAAATACACACAGAAACACAGTACATATATAAATACACACAGAAACACAGCACACATATAAATATACACACAGAAACACAGCACACGCAAACATATACACACACAAACACAGCACACACATAAGTATACACACACAAACACAGCACACACATAAGTATACACACATAAACACAGCACACATATAAATACACACATAAACACAGCACACATATAAATACACACATAAACACAGCACACATATAAATACACACATAAACACAGCACATATAAATATAGACACAAATCTCTCTATTACGGTATTAAAGCAATCTGCTGTTGCTGGATCAAACCAGATCATGAAACTGAGGATTGCAATACATGCGCTCACCATTGTCAGAAAAATACAGTAACTCATCAACTCATCACGCTCATCACTGTAAACATAATAAAATTTACTATTTTATGACAAAGTGATCCAGATGTTTGAGTAAACTAACCCACTACATGAAGCAGAAGAGAGACAGACAGTTTACTGATGTGAAAGTTGTTTTGGGTAGGGTCCTCGTCATCATGGTCATCACACTGATTGAATCCTTGGTGTTATTTTCATAACGTAGGAATATTTCTTTTCAGCAAATCCATTAGTTTTCTCAATTGGAGAAGTATAATATGGCTTGATGGTGCGTAAACCTCCACTTTCCAAAATATATTGTGTCTTGACGAGGAGTGCAACAATTATGTGCAATCCCCTGTGCCACTATACAAGCATTGTATATGTTGGTCATGAAGCCATCCAAAACTGCTGGTAAACACAAGATCTGAATGAGCAACATTTAAAATTGTAAACAAAGTAATTATAAAATACTCTTTTCAACCATTTGAAAATACTCTCAAGCCACTTATTCATCAACAAACTTCATATATGTTGGTTGGGTGTCTTTGATGATGAAATGTGTCTCTGACATGGCAAGTGTAGGCTTTATCAGCAGGATGTATATGGTATTGTGATGCAGTGCATCAGTACATTCATGGCCCTCCGGCTGTCACTACTCACCGGCGCCACTTGGATGAGATGATGGAGGGTTGGCCTGGGGTTTATTGTGGCTAGGAAGACTGTCTTGCTTGGAAATCCTCACTTCTACTCTACGACCTTTAATGTCTTGTCCATCCATGGCTTCAATCATCTTTTGTGCATCCTCAGATGTGTCAAAATTCACAAAAGCATACCTTAAAAATAGTAAAACTCATTCTGTTGAACAAGTCATGAAGGTGCTTCTACAGTTGGTTCAACCAATTACTCGTAACACATCAGTATACAGTGGGACTTCCACTTGTCAGGTGTCAAAAGACTCATTTCCTAACAGGGAGGACATCAGTGAGAAACTAGCATGATAGGAAAGGAAAAATGCTGATGCCTCAACAATTCCTGGAAGTATGCAAGCTGAGAAACAACAGTCTCCAAGATTACTTCTCCGCTTTCACACAGGCTTCTCATCAAACCAATGTGTTGAAATTGTGAACATAAAATACGGCCTCCAAGTTTAACAGTCCTTGTATTAGCCCTTTTATGCCGAGCGCCAGGCAGGGGAACAACAAATACCATTTTTTAAAACGTCTGGATAACGTGGCTGGGGATAGAACCCAGGCCTTCCACTCCCCAGGCAGATGCTCTATCCACTAGACCATGGAGGCAGTCCCCTTAATTCATGGACTGGTTCCTGGCAATGTTTGACCTGTTTAAAGTCTGCAGAGATTTGTTTCACAAATAGAATCCACATATAGCCAATAACCCTTTCAGGATTTCCTTAGCACGACAGCAGGGTCCAGGATATTACAACTTCCACTTAGATATAATACACTACACATAATCTCAAATTCCAAGTTTTGAAAACTTTCACGCATTCCCTACGTCATGTTTACATTACAAAATAAATGTCCCCTCGTAAGGCTTAAAAAAAATAAACGGATTGGTTCTCAGGCAATGACTTTTGAAAATATAGTGCATGCGGGCGGGCTGGGTTGGATTTTTTTTGCTTGTTCAAACTATAGTCTGGAAGGTAATTTAAGGTACCAACGTTTACTACAATATCTGAAAAACTATCGGACCTACTCCAGTCAAAGTTGGTATGAGATTATTAAACAGTAATACATACCTGGATATAACTGGATATTACATTTAAAAACAATCACGCACGCACGAATACGGTGTTAGCTTTGGGCGTTTCAACGTGCGTGATTCCTGTGCACCCTTTCGAGTTGAGTTGATTGGTTCAACTGTGTCATATGGCCCTGTGACGCAGGGGTAGCATTATGCAGATGGCTGTTTCAATGATTGCTCGTTCCACCCGTGGCGAACAGGTCTGGTTGTGGTTGAAATATAGTGATAGCTAAATAGACAGATTTTTTATTCATGCACCGATTGTCTTTAAATGTAATATCCAGTTATGTATGACTGTTTAATAATCTCATACCAACTTTGACTGGAGTAGGTCCAATAGTTTTTCAGACGTAGACGTAGTAAACGTCGTTACCTTAAATTACCTTCCAGACTATAGTATGTAACCAAATAAACAGTTGTGTACCATCAACCTGGGAAAGGGCCTCTCTACATAAGGAAGCATACAAAGTTTACTACAACTATTTCCGCAATTACCATAACACGAGATGCACAGTAAAGCAGTGCGCATATAAAGGGAAGTAACTGCATGCTGTATTGGACCGCAGTGTTTAAGTATAAGGATTTTTGGATTTTTTTCAAAATGGAAATAAAAACAAAACGTGCGGTAGACTTTCTGATGATGTGGGCGGTGCCTGAGAACCAAAACTATTATTTTTTTTAGCCTTATTGTAGCAATATAATATGCTCTAACTAACCAGACGACCAAATGAAACATATGAGAATGCCATCAACATACTGACAGTACACAGATATCTACCAGCCACTATTCTGGACAGAAACTGTCTTTTTGCAGCAAAGTCAGTCGATTTTGAAGTTAATAATTAGGTTGTTATGAACTAAAGTTCCAGACAGGAATACATTTTACTGACCTCAGGCTTCAAACTTCAGTGTCTGAAACCACTGGTGCCAGCATGCCCCATTATACAGTAGCATCAACAGGTGGTGCATGTTCCATGACTCATGCCCAAACTCTGTCTTTACTTAGGATCATGAAAACGTTTTAAACAAGTATTTGTCACAGAGTGACGAAATATCCCCCGCCTGTACACCATAGTACCAAATATGAAGACAATCCAGCGATTAGTTCTTGAGATATTGTGGCAACACCGTTTTCCAACTCCAAAAACAGATTTGCCTGCTGTGACCTTGAAAATGGGGTCAAGGTCACCAAATCTGACAGGTGTATGCGGTGTCTGTATATACACTATAGTTCCAAATATGAAGACAATCCAGCGATTAGTTCTTGAGATATCGCGGCAACACCGTTTTCTAACTCCAAAAGCAGATTTGCCTGCTGTGACCTTGACAATGGGGTCAAGGTCACCAAAACCGACTGGTGTCTGCGGTGTCTGTATATACACCATAGTTCCAAATATGAAGACAATCCAGTGTTTAGTTCTTGAGATATCGCGGCAACACCGTTTTCCAACTCCAAAAGCAGATTTGCCTGCTGTGACCTTTAAAATGGGATCAAGGTCACCAAAACCGACTGGTGTCTGCGGAGTCTGTATATACACCATAGTTCCAAATATGAAGACAATCCAGTGTTTAGTTCTTGAGATATCGCGGCAACACCGTTTTCCAACTCTAAAAGCAGATTTGTCTGCTGTGATCTTGAAAATGGGATCAAGGTCACCAAAACCGACTGGTGTCTGCGGAGTCTGTATATACACCATTGTTCCAAATATGAAGACAATCCAGTGTTTAGTTCTTGAGATATCGCGGCAACACCGTTTTCCAACTCTAAAAGCAGATTTGTCTGCTGTGACCTTGAAAATGGGATCAAGGTCACCAAAACCGACTGGTGTCTGCGGAGTCTGTATATACACCATAGTTCCAAATATGAAGACAATCCAGTGTTTAGTTCTTGAGATATCGCGGCAACAAACAGGTGGGACGTACGGACGGACGTACGGACGTACGGACGTACGTACGGACGGTCGTGAATACTATATCCCCCGCTTCGCGCTTTCGCGCGGCGGGGGATAATAATCAACTTACAACTTCACATCTTTCCGAACTAATCTTGATTCTCTTGGGTTAAACTCAGCAATCATTTCATCAAACTCTTCCTATTAAACAAAAAGTAAAGGAAATCATGACATGGTTAAGGTTGTTGGAAAAAGGATCACACATTGATTGGTCAAACATGCCAATGCTGAATAAAAATTGTCGTTTAAGATGTCAACATTGTAAACTTGTAAAAGACATAGGAAAACAATGGTGGCATAACCAACAGAACCCATTATATAGCTACAAGTTCAGAAAACAAACATTACTGGGACCATGGCAACACACAATGAAACATAGCCATCATACAGTCACTTGCTTCATGTAGCCAACAGTGTCAGCAACTGTCCACACACATGGACATGCAAGCCAGCCAGCAGAGGTACAGCTTTGTCACCTGCCATATTGATTACACAGGCAAAGAACCCACTTGTCAAAAAAGCAATCACAGCAATCACTTCATAAATGTTACAGTAGAAGTATCAAGAAAGTCAAGCGCTGCAATCACTTGGTGCAAGTGTTTGTTTGATTTGTTTGTTGTTTAAGGTTGCACTCAGCAATATTCCAGGTATATGAAAACGGTTTATAAATAATTGAGTCTGGACCAGACAATCCAGTGATTCACACCATGAGCATCGATCCACGCAATTGGGATCAACCAAGTCAGCAATCCTGACCACCCGATCCCATTAGTCGCCACTTACGACAAGCAGTCACCTTTTACGGCAAGCATGGGTTACTGAAGACCTATTCTACCCAGATTTTCACGGGTTTGGTGCAAGTGGGTCTTGGACAATGCCTGTACGCTACAAAGTATGGCCTGTCTGACACATCTGTCCAGCAGTCAGAATTCTATTTTTTAATGATTATCGCCACACTCTGCATAGGTTGCTGGGCCCTATATTCTTACCCTGAATCCCCACAGGTGCCCTATATTCTTACCCTGAAGCCCCACAGGTGCCCTATATTCTTACCCTGAAGCCCCACAGGTGCCCTATATTCTTACCCTGAAGCCCCACAGGTGCCCTATATTCTTACCCTGAAGCCCCACAGGTGCCCTATATTCTTACCCTGAAGCCCCACAGGTGCCCTATATTCTTACCCTGAAGCCCCACAGGTGGCAGTGAGAGCATAACTTGTATGGACCATGTAAACTGTATTAATATTTATATTCTGTGTCTTTTTCTGGCATATAGAAGATGTGGTATCGATAAAGACAGGGTTGATTTACAGATTTAAACCCTTATATGCGATCTTTCAGTATGTTCACGTGCTTGATAAAGGTACTCTCATCTGTACTGAAATGTCATACTGCAGCTACAAGAAGTTGAAATCCACAAGTCACCGTTCATTTGTGCCCCGTTATCAACAGGAAACAGTATGTGACTTCGCTGCATGTGGAGACTGCCCCCTGCCGTCTACCTACCTCTTTAAGAGTGTTCGTAATGTTTCCCACAAACACTTCATGTTGCCGCCCACCAGGGACCCCTTTCCTGATGAACTTTTTGTGAGCACCTTGTTTCTCCTGTGGATTATCTTGTCTTTTTGGTGGGACGTCACGCATTTGGGCTAATGGATAGATAAATAAAAAATAGATATCATATAACTTCCTTGGGTAAAAAATATTTAATATATATATATATATATTTATTTATTTAACCCATATATATATATATATATACATATATATACACATACACACACACACGTCAAAGTACTCAACTGTCTTAGCCAAAACACGGGCCCTACATTCATAAATGCAATATGAAACTCCCTGATCGTTTTTTCACTTTTATTATCATGCTTATCTTGGGTATTGACTTACTTGTTGACATTCCAAGTTGTAGAATTTTGACTAGGGCAAAGCCATCTTAAAAGTACCCCTATTTTATGTATATTCAGAAAAAAGTAGAAACCATGCCATAAGCTTTTCTCCAAAACTTCCAATATAAAATTTATATAACATAATTTGATACATATCCCAATTCACAATGTTTTATGATCTCTGTCAATACCTTTTTTTCTGTTAGCATGAGATTCAGTGACTCAGTGTATTATTATACATTACTTGCAGCAGAAAAACATATTTTCACAAACAAGCATATTTTATCATGTAACTGAATGTCGTTTATTTACAACACAAATAATTGTTTGGGCTGAAGAAATTTATCTGATAAACATACTTAATATACTCTTTAAAAGAGTGAAAGTATTGTTTATATAATAATCCATTCCTTGCAAATTGGTGCATCATATTGATAGCCTTTCACACAATCGGCTGATGGGCCCCGGATGACCAACTCTGTATACATTTCTCTTTGTCTCATTTGGCTTAGCAAATCTTCCTACAGCCTCCTTCACTATTTCCTAACTGCCATCCATGTTACTCACACAGTTAATATTTAGGTCACTGATTACTTTCAAGCAACTTCATCTAGTCAGAAGACCGGTCATTTATTATAAGGGTGGGCGGATGGGTCAGAAGGAATCAGAGGAGTGTCATGAAAAATGGATATTTTATAACGAAACATTAAGTGCTTTTGCGTTTTGTCTTTTGGGGGAGGGAGTAAGAAATAAACAAGGACTTGGGGAGGGCAATCCATAAATATGACAGGCATTAGGGTTATTATTTTCTGTACATTAGTGCATCCAAAACCTCTGGCCCACTGCCCCCTGTCATAAATGACTGGTCCCTGACGTCAGCCAAAGTGCAAGCATATATCTTCAGTATTAACCACATTTCATTGATCTACACATATCCATCAGCTGATAAACAATATACTGCAATGTTCAAACAGTTATATATCTTGCCATTGTCATTAACCATCTGTAATCAGCCAGGAAAGAAACGCACTGCTGGATCTACACACATCACATACTTCTACATATACGTTACAAATGTTGCAGAGTACAGAGATGACAAATATCAAACAACGGTAGAGTTGCCCACTTTTGTTTCTTCCATCAGATCTTTGCGTTGCTTACATTTTTACATGTCGGAGATCGGGTATAATATGAGATTTGAATTATTATACGTCAATCATAGTACCCAAATGAGTCTTAGCAAAAACTAATTTGCAAATTACATTTCGGAAACACATTTGGGGCTCAGCGATAAGTGGAGTCCTTTTACACTTTAAATTCAAAAATAAAATCTTTACTTCGAGCCAACAATTTTTTCAAGAAAATGGTTTACCTCAAAATAAAACATTTCGCCTATGCACAATCGAGTATCATAGACACACTTTCCACATGTTGAAAAATAAGCTCCATCGAAGAATATCATAACTTTCAAACAGTACACGCCAATGTGGTTATCAACACTATCCCTTTAGGGTATTACACTTGGATTGACATATCATATGCCGATCTGTGGTTAAACTGGTTATCCATGACCTGATTAAATAAGGCTGAATTCTCAATCACTGTAACTGATCTCTTGACTCTTTAAGATGTTCTTGCACTTTGGTCAGTACAAAATCAGTAAAATATGATATGACATGGCATTGGATATTGTTCACCAGGTTGATGGATATCACTTTGGAATATTAGCCAGCTGATCCGTCAGCCTTAGCCATCAGTCTGTGTACCAGGCTTCCATGCCAACAGTTACATGGTGCTTCGTGGTGTTAAGAACTGGGGGTTCCTGAGGCTACAGCAAAATTAGCTTTGTAATGTATAAACCCATCAAGTCCTTTAAACATTAGGATAATAACAAGGAGGCCTTGATCTTAACTCTGAATTTCAAACACTGCTTTGTTTAATGGATTGGGATACATTGTGAATATTTTGCAAGATAAGGCGTATATTTACATAATATTACAGATACTGTAGACATGGTAAAGACCTCTGACTTTGGAAGAAGAGTTGACTGACAAGTGAAACTTCTGGCTAAGGCGACGAACACCTGGCAAAATGACGAAGGTTTAGGTACGTTTGTTGGCCAGGAGACTATCATTCTCCGCCTCCTCCTCTGTCTCTTCCACTAACGAGTTCCGGTGTTCCTTGTTCTTGTTCTTACCCTCATCGGCAATGCGTACATCGAGATAAGAGAACTTCTCGAGGGACGACAGGGCTCCCTGCTTCGTTTTGAAGCGCACAAATATCCAGCTGTTGAACACAGAACGTGGTTAATGCATGGAAACCTGTGAACTGATTGACAGCTTCCAGAAGTGCTTGACAGCTTTGAGAAGTGCTTGACAGCTTTGAGAAATGACGGCCAGTTTCAGCAAGTGATTGCAGGGTAATGGTAGACTGATTGAACAGCAAGAAAGAAAGGCAATACATTTTTGCAAAAGAGGTTTATAGATCCACTGATCCTAAAGAAACAAAAAGTGGAAAAGACAAATCAGTAAATTCTATTTGTCTGTATTGTTATCAGGTTGTGATTGCATTAACCTGGGACACTGAAGAGTGGCACACATGCCAACATATTCAACTTCTATATGAACCAAAAAATCAATTAAACATGGTGAAATAGTTTTTATTATTATTTTGTTCACACCTTCTAACAAAATTTTGAACAAAAATATCTGAAATTCAAGAATCGTATTGCTTAACAAACAGGATAAAGATTCATTTCAGCAACGATTATCAGGCTCAAAGGGGATTGCAAGAAGCCACGAGAAAGTTAACATGTAAGCCAGATATGTATATTTACAAAGTGCTATTGACATTTTCAAGTCTCAAAACATGCAAAGAACTCAGAAAGGTGGATGATCATGCTGCTGTCTTCATCAGATGTGTGTGATAAATGCCACCACTAGTCACTGTACATGCTGATTGACGTGGTGACGTAACAGTACATAGAAAACATTCCAGCACAGTCAGAGTGCATAAAGCCATGCAGGTTTCCATAACAAAATACATGTCATAACTAATTTCTTACCTTCACCCAATCTCATTAAAATCAGATCTAAGTTCTCGCTGCCGCTAAACAAAGATCTGAGGACATCCCATTACGGGTCACGTCAGAACGACCTTTCGCGAACTTTGACCGACCAATCGAATGACCAATCTGAAGGAAGCTTTCTTGTGCTTTACGGCACTTGTTTCAACCTGGCGACTACCATTTCAGACTACGCTTGAAAAATATGTTGACACAGTTCTCGATTAAAATTTTGAAAACTGAACAAACAAACATTCCGGAATGTCTGGTATATTGTTGGGATTGTATGGCAGTGCTTGCCACGTACTGTGCAACGCCTCCTCCGTTCAAATGATACTCCTATGGAAGCGAGAGACAGATGATAATTTTGACGGAATCAGTCGTACGGGCCGTAACTGTCGTTCGGAATATCCCGGGTTAACGTTTTCGAGGTTGCATGATTAGGAAACATATATCGACTGTCACTTTCATGATCTGGTAAGTGATGCTTTGATTGGTCGGATCAAAGGTTGTTCTGACGTGAACCGGACACACTAGTGCTTCCTTGCATAAGCAATGACCATGCAGGCTGGATACTGAGCACCTATACTGCTCCACAATCCCCACTGGTTGAACAATCCTTATATATCATGATACAAAGTATTGTAGGTTTATTAACATGATTAAGAAAAGCTTTGAAATGTGTACAATTCTGTCAATTTGTTTATTAGTGACAATGAATACCATCTCATCAAATATTCACTTGCATAAACATAGTGGATTTTGCCGTAAGATTTAAGCAAACGTTGGGCACATGTGACAACATGTTACAGGAGGACTGTATAACAAGACAAAGTGTGTTAGTAGGTGTTGTTTCCAGCTTCAGTCCCGTGTTCATATCTCAGTTATATCAGTGATTTGGGAAACGTGGAATCTAGACAAGTAACAGGTAGACTTGTGGTTGATATCATCAGTATATAAAACACTTCCAGCCACAGATGACAGAATATCTTCCATCATGATGTTGTTGTTTTTTTGTTTTGTTTAACACCACAATATTCCAGCTATATGACCGTGGTCTGTAAATAATCAAGTCTGGACCAGACAATTCAGTGATCAACATCATGAACCTTGATCCACACAATTGGAATCCGATGACATGCATCAACCAAGTTAGCGAGCCTGACCACCTGATCCCTTACGACAAGCATAGTTTACGGCAAGAATGGGTTGGTGAAGATCTATTCCTCCCCGGATCTTCACGGGTGTGACCAGCAGTTGGTGTTGTCAGTGTACAACACTCCCAACACTGGCTTGTGTAAGTACTGGTCCAACCAGTAGCCACTGAGGCCACCCATTCCCAGCCATCCCACAACATGGGGTAATGAGGACATGCTCATCCTAGAGCTGGAACTACCCGGTACACAACATCTGAAGCTTAAATATGGTCATCAGTGTGAAACTACATGCTGTGTTTACTTGTTTGTTTGTTGTGTTACGCAGCATCAGCAATATCTCAGCTATAACACGGCAACCTCTAAATAATTGTGTCAGGACCAGAAAAATCAGTGGTCGATATGAGCAACGTATGAAACACAATCAACCAAGTCACGGAGTCTGACAATATGATCCACTTAAGTCCCCTGTTACCACAAACAATAGAGCACATAGGACCTACTGGTGCTCTGAACCCCATGCCTGCCTGCAAGGTAAAACCACATGCAGTGAACTTCTGACAGGTCTCCAGCCATGCTTCATGCTACATGCTACAAACAGGTTTTCATTCCAAAGCATCAAAACTGTTACAAACAAATGCTAGAATTGACGTCATACAAGCATGACGGATCTATAAGATGCTTTTTACTTTAAAAAGGCACCCCTGGACCCACGTTAATTAAGATACTAACCTATGATTGACTTCACATCATAGATCACAAGCCTTGGTGTGGGACTTTCAACATATTTCACAAGGGACAGATTCTGTGTTGCAAGTAGGATATTCAATCTATTGGCCGTAATCATTTGTTTTTGACAACATCAAGGAACAGGTAGGTTTCCCAGACTCCAGTGATGACATCAACTCAGTCTATTTGTTGTGTGCACCACCACATACAACAGACTCAATATCACATACAACCAACTCAATATCACAAACAACCGACTCAATATCACAAACAACCGACTCAATATCACATACAACCGACTCAATATCACATACAACCAACTCAATATCACATACAACCTACTCAATATCACATACAACCAACTCAATATCACAAACACCTGACTCAATATCACATACACCTGACTCAATATCACATACAACAGACTCACTATCACATACAACCAAATCAATATCACATACAACCAACTCAATATCACATACAACCGTCTCACTATCACACACAACCGACTATCACACACAACCGACTATCACACACAACCAACTCAATATCACATACAACCGACTCACTATCACACACAACAGACTCACTATCACACACAACCAACTATCACACACAACCGACTATCACACACAACCAACTCAATATCACATACAACCGACTCACTATTACACACAACAGACTATCACACACAACCAACTCACTATCACACACAAGAGACTCAATATCACATACAACCGACTCACTATCACACACAACAGACTATCACACACAACCAACTCACTATCACACACAACCGACTCAATATCACATACAACCGACTCAATATCACATACAACCGACTCAATATCACATACAACCGAATCAATATCACACACAACCGACTCACTATCACATACAACCGACTCAATATCACATACAACCGACTCAATATCACATACAACCGACTCAATATCACACACAACCGACTCAATATCACATACAACCGAATCAATATCACACACAACCGACTCAATATCACATACAACCGACTCAATATCACATACACCTGACTCAATATCACATACAACCGACTCAATATCACAAACAACCGACTCAATATCACATACAACCGAATCAATATCACACACAACCGACTCAATATCACATACACCCGACTCAATATCACATACACCTGACTCAATATCACATACAACCGACTCAATATCACATACAACAGACTCACTATCACACACAACTGACTCAATATCACATACAACTGACTCAATATCACATACAACCGACTCAATATCACATACAACCGACTCAATATCACATACAACCGACTCAATATCACATACAACCGAATCAATATCACAAACACCTGACTCAATATCACATACAATCGACTCAATATCACATACAACCGACTCAATATCACATACAACCGATTCAATATCACATACAACCGACTGATGTCATGACCAGTGGATCACGTCATCTTTAATTACTAGCGACAATGTTTTTGACAAGATATCACAAACAATGAAAACAATGAATGAAACATGAAATGAAATTATAATAATGCTCAGTTTGAGTACTGTACACAACCAATACAGCTCCTACTTCCTACCACCTACTTGGGTGTGGTGTTGACCTCGCCCACCTCCCCGGCTTCACTGAACCACTCTGTGATGTCCTGCAACACAAGCATGTAGAAGGGCAACACTCTCAATGACAACTAACTACCCATATATAGGGGGAAACAATATGTGATGATACATGATTATTGCACGTCGAACAGTCACTAATATTGCTTCCCGTTCAAACTGGAAACAAAACATATTTTGTTCAAAATTGGATTTTTGTTAAAAGTACATGTACTTTATTTAATAAAAGACACTGTGCAAAGCCATAACATTAGTGATAACTGAACCGCAAGAATTAGGAATTGTGTAATTCCAATTTGGGAATTTTTACTGACAGTCTGATACTAGTTAAACTCAGGAAAGGCTAGTGGCATTTACTTGTGGATCGACAGGACAACAGAGGTTTTTAAAAATATGGCTCATTTACAATCTTCCTAAAACATAAAATACAATGAACCGTACATTAGAGACTAATGGCAAATATTGATAGGCAAACTTCTTGATCAGTTGATCTGATAAGTAAACTCGGTCAAAAGAAGTAGAAATTATGAGTCCCTATAGTTTTCAGAAGGCAAAAATAATCTTGAGGTGGCATTTTCACTACCTGCTACTATCAATTTCAAGCAACTCAGCATGTCTGGTGCTATTTTGAGGAGAATGTTGTACAACTCTGTTCTCTGTACATACTTCTTTATCATTGCTGACTGCCTTTTCACTTCTGTAGCATACAGTGTAGAGTCCACGGCTATTGGGGATCAGTTTCCTGCCATCTTCGTTGTCATGTGTTGCACCTGCAGAAACACAACACGGCATCATAAGGGTATATCCTTATCCCACAAGCATGCGGGAAAACTGAAACACTTGACGTCTTCACTGCACCGTACGTAGTTGTAAGGTGACATTAACCTCTTTCCTATCAGAGTTCAGCCTCTCTATACTGAATGACAAAAACTGTTTCAAAATTATCAGTAAAATGAAATTCCCCAAAAGAGTAATTTGTTCACATCTGAACTACATTAACCCTTTCGTCATGACAAGGCAGACATCAAACATGACATAACCATGAACAAACATGACATACTCATATCCCCCGCCAATATGACATGTCCGGTTGTGGGCAAGGCATTCACCCCTGTCAAAGTTGTTGCTACGTAAACTCGAAAAATATTATTTTTTTAAAACTCAACTATCAAAAGGCACCAGTTTACCACTAGACCTATTTATGTGACAAGTTTGGTGAAGAAATATTGAACGATTTTCAAGATCTGCTCCGCAAACGATCACTACCGCCACTTTCAGTCTATCTCAAAGTTGTTGCTATGGAAACTCGAAAAATAATGTTTTTTAAAAACCCCAAACTATCAAAAGGCACCAGTTCACCACTAGACCTATCTATGTGCCAAGTTTGGTTAAGATACCTAGAATTAATGAAAGTGCACTTATAAGTGTTCAGAATATTGTCACTGCTGAATGTCGTGCAAGAGATCTTTCTCCATTATTGAATCCAGAATAATGTTGGAAGACGGCAGGAATTTGTTTTTTTACACAAATATGTATCCCAACCACACTTGGCAAGTAGATAAGAAACAAGTCAGGTTGAAAACGTCTCCAATCACCCTCTTGTCGCTAGGTACAGTGAGCCTTCTAGAAACTGTCCCATCCAGAAACTAAGCCCTTTTGGAAAGCTCAACTCCCTGCTGATAACTGAAGTTCAAATCCATCCATGGCAGCACTTGATACTTTTAGCGAGTATTTCAATCATTTACCGCCACGGCGAATGACTATCAATATGTTTACACTACAACTACTACACATAACATATTCACGTGAGGGCCACGCAGACCAGTGCTGACAGCATGAACAATGGTATGATAGCACACATGCAGCCAGTTCACACCTTGTAACCATGGTAACCCACCGATCCTCATATGCATCTCTCATGACAAGCACAAGCTGCGGAGACCTATTCTGGCACCACAGGGCATCATTATACTGACCATTTCTGTTTGCAAATCTGTTTCCCTTTGATATGTTGGAGGAATGTCCCTTCTGTAAACTTCCCTGTATATTTCCCTGTGCCATCTTAGCGGACAGAGACATGTACATGTTCGGGTCACCCACACCAAACAATCTGTAGGCCATGTCCTTGTCAGAGTACTCAAGTCTGAAATATCAAAAAATATTTAATGATATATCAACATGATCATAAATATTACATACTAAATAATCAAAATGTGCTTGCAGTTAATAGCAAATCTTCACACTTGTTAATGATAATGTCCTGAAAAACAACCTCATACCCGTATAATTAGGATAATGTCGACCAAATTATGTTACAGATACACTTATCAATATGCACACCCGATTCCATTTTGCAAACTTGGTCGGGACTATTGTAGGCATGCCTCCAAAGTCATTACCTAATATCAACGCAAATTTGCATGCCTCCAAAGTCAGAGGCATATATACAAAGGGAAACATCTCCCGACTACAGAATGTGAACTAAGATTAGCAGCCCGTGTCATAATCGAGGTCATGGTCATTACAATAGCTTGCAGACACGTGCATCTTTCGTGTTCATCCTTCTCAAATTTCATTTACAAGATATGTTACACTTCTTTGCTCACAGACTCGAATGAAGATTATTTTTAGATGATTGACTCGATAGTTATGTGGATCGCTATTAACAATATTTCTGACAGAAATCTATGATGCATTCTTCGTGTTTTTGAAAAGTTGATTTGAATCACAATGTTTAACAAAATGAATGTCAGTGTTTGAATGTGTAGCAGATTATTTATTTGAAAGAGGCCCTCTCTTGTCCAGTATGTTCAGAGACTACAATGATTTTATCTAGTCAGGACTAGTTGTATATTATTTCAATTGTAGCTCACGATCATCGGTCCTAGCCCACAATCATTTTGTGCAAGTGGATGGCGATGGTAGGATGAACTTAAGATCATGTTTTTTTGGATTTACAATAAGTGTAGCTATAAGATAGTTTCATGCAAGTGTGCCCAGGAAGAAAGCACTTAGGAAGAGACAGTTGTACAGTGCTAGCCCACCGAGATACCACGCCACAGTCTTACACGGATACCACGTTCTGACACATTATTCTGACTCCGACCCAACCAGTCCTTGATGTAGCCACTTAATGCTGAGAGCCACACAGGGTAACTACAAGTACCATCTTTTAACTTCTTATGGTATTGACGTGATCTGGGATTATACCAACAAACCTTCCACTCTCCAGGCAGACGCTTTATCCAGTAAACCCCAGATGCGGTCCAACTTTCATTGGGATTCCCCTGACATTCCATGGTGGTCAAAGAAGTCTACCTTGGCTGGCGTGACTTATTGTTTTACATTCTTGGGAAATGAATTCAAAAGAAACTAGTCCTTTCAGCCAATCAGATTGTCGTAATTACAAAGAACACACAATAAATAGAGGTTATCACGAGAGTGTGTTTGGGGATGGTAAATATCCTGCATTAGGAATAAACATTGTATTAAGCGAGCCTTGGTGAGTTAAATACATAGTGTTTATTCCTAATGCAGGATATTTACCATCCCCAAACACACAAGCGTGATAACCTCTTTATCATATAATGTCATTCTTTAATTCTGTGCTTCAAAATCGCTTTCCCTCTGTCACAAACATTACTGAAACATTGCGAGTTTTACTGGAATGCGCGCATTAATATTTATTATGTCAGAGGGTAAGTGATGTGTCAGTTGGACAGTGACAGTAGCCAATATAGTTCCAACTGAAATCTGTTTCTTATACAGTGGCGAGGCAACATATACGCAAAACAACAATTGTTTTTTAATTGCCTCTTGCGGCAATCCATCGGTCTGTCCGCTAGAGTAACTGCCCATTGTCAAAGGAAAGCTACTCTAAGCCTAGTCTATGAGACGTCACGGCCACGTCAGACGTTGTTGACAGTCGGTCTGTCCTGTCAAAATGTTAAGAAGTGTAGTCAGATGTACACACAGCGACAAAACGAAACAAGGTAACAATTCAAACATATTTCGGCCAAATCCAACTATTTTAATTTGTGGAGAAGGTTTCAAGCCGCAGAGGTCTACAAGCACAGATATGGCTACTGATCCCGTTTGGCTAGACCTCGTGCCCTCGCAAAATTGTTTCGAAATTTATATCTCCAAAGTTGCCAAAACTTATAAAATGCCTTAGCTACGTCACAGTTAGACACTTATTTTCAGTATATTAGACTGTTCTTTTGATAATGATAGCAATTATCCCTGTAGTTTATCCAGATTCCCGATGGTTAATTCTGACTCTATCGCCGAATGACGTGGGCGACGCCATGTTTGTTTATAAACAGTGAAAGTAGTCCCTACTTGACCTTTGATATTTGCATCTTTATCCGCATATGACCCCAACGGATATCCTTTTTATCCGTTGGCTTTATCCTGCCGAGAAACCTACCCATTATATGATAAATGTAATTATCATGTCACGATATCCAATAACACATTATTATGATTAGAATTTACAAGGCTTAATTATCATTGATAAGACACTGGTCACCGGAAACTTAGCATGCAGGGTTGGAGAACTTTTATTCACCTCGCATATTCAGGTATAGCCTCAACAAAGTCCTTGTAATTGTCAAATCCATAATTCTCAATAAAGAGTTTCTTGTTGGTAAGATTACGGTAGTCTTTCCTGAAGTCACTGACAAGGACACCCCCTATCTTGGACAGAAGAACAGCTCTGACATTCTTCTTCACATCTTCGGGAATATTGCCGGCTGCCATGATGTGGCACAAGATTCTGAAAATTGAAAAAGTGAAGGAGTTCAAATTTAATGTCACATCAGTAGTGTTGCATAGATGATGGAGCACAAAGCTTTAAACCTTTCCGGTAAATTATTCTTTGAATTTTCTTATCTATCATCATGTTCTGTTCCTTTTTTTTTAAAAGGGTACTAATCTCTGGCTTCTTCTCAGCTGTCTAACACAGCCCACTACAGGGCTCACTAGCTGCCGTGCGTCGATTTGCTCGGTAACGCAACTGACCGTGACAAGAGACTGGGCTACCGTCTGTAAGGACAGCTATATAAACTTTGAGGCAATATCTGTTTTACGCATTTTTGAACACTGATTGGTTACCCGTGATCTATGAAGATTTTGACAAATGGCGCATGTTAATTCATTTCTTAAGCCTAAAGAAACAGACAAAAAGAATGTTGGATGCACATCGGATGTCGTTATTTGGAAATACCCCTGATCATGCTGATGGTTATAGTTTAATAATAATAAAAAAAAGTATCCCTCTAGTGAAAGTATTTTCAGATTTCGGATTGCGTGGATAATATGATTGCTATCTCTTGTTGTCATCCATGTTTCCTGGTAGAACAAAATTAACACAAATCAGTAATGACCTAGTATCTACTGGTTTGTGTTAATTTTGTTTCTCCAATATCTGCCTCAATTATCTCCAAAATTTGGGGCCACTTTCACTCAAATTTGGGGCCACTTTCTCCAAATTGTCTGGGGCCATTTTTGCATTGGGACATTTTCTTCTGCACCAGATGGAAATTGCTTCACTTGCATGTAAAAAATGCACACTGTAACAGTTAAATCCTTTTTACTGTGATTAGGTGGAGGAATTGTGTATCTGTTGGGTTTTTATGCACAAAGGTTGTTTACAAAATGTGACACGTGCATTCACTTTTTACACAAAATCACGTCCGTGTAATCCTCTCCAATGAGATCATCTCTAACGTGAACTGTAAGTGTAACCTTCGTAAGTCGATGTCGTGACACATATTTATCCCGAAAGTATTATTTTTCCCAAATGTAGAACATAATTAAGGTTGTCAGTTATTGTCCTGCAATATAGAAACGTATTAGCGCCTTTAGTGGATCGAAATACCTTTTGAAACATGAAATGACGTGCAATAATATCCCAAATAAACACTCGTCTGTGCTTAGGTCAGTCCGTCGACATGTGTGTATGGAGTTTCGCGGGCAATATCACTTGTCTCCCTTGGATTGGCAGTTATCTTCCCCTTCTTGTTGCCCTGCCATAGACTGTGTGCCAGTCTACAATTATATTAATAGAAACTGTAGAGCATAGATACCATGTCAGATAATGACATATGCACATGAAGTCATTATATTTAGAGAAGATCCATTGTCTGGTTAGAATGTGCACATTCGTTAGCATAGATATTTGCGTTAGTACAGTGAAATCTGTCAAAACAGTACTCTGACTAATCCGGATCTCTGACAATACAGAGGTTTTGTTTCGTGTCTCCACACATAATAACCTTTATTGTACACTTCTCATGTCGATAGTGAAGCTTTTCAATTCCAGCCAGGAAGAAGTTTTCTGAAGCCACCCTGAAAAACCCATCACGGCAGCTTTGAAACCATCGTTCTTCAACGTTCAACTGTCTGTCACTAATATACAAACGGCCTCAAGAGACCAAATACTCTTGCGATGAACTACTCAAACAATGTACTACATAGACCAGATCACTTCGTTATGGCCCAAAGTTGAAAGTTAGTCAGGCTTAGAACTTTTTTAAAACAGCCCTCGTACCATGAAGCATGGATGACAACAAGGCAGCAGTTATTGTTGTATAATGTACATTTAGGTAATCTACATTTACTATTTAAGTAATTCAACCAAATTAAGAAAATAACGTAACATAAATAATACGTATTTGCTGTATACTAGAGAGTAGACAATTGTACATACCCTTTGGGTTGATTGTTCTTTTTACAGCGTCCGCTTTACAATAATCATGCAAAGTGTGGGATGGGACACAACCCCATAAAGAGTAGCATTTGTTTAATAAGGAAATGCTATCCCAAATATAAATTTTGTTACATTAGATCACTTTCTTAATGGCATTGTGTATTCGTAACTTTCGGCCATGGGTGTACGTTTGTCAGAATGGTACACAAAGTACGTGATCTAGACTACCAGTTGTCGGACTTTCATTTTTTGTGGAAGCCTTGGTGGCTGAGTGGGAAAAATGTACTAGAATCTGTGCTTTACTGAGTAAGTGTTATCGCAAGTATAACATTTGTTAAATAACCATGCAATGGAAAAATGGGGTTTCATTTTACGGCCTCAAAGCTGTCAAACGACATGTTTATTTTTAATATCATAAGTCCATGAGTATGATAGATCAGTCATCTCAACATCCACACACTCAGAAATCCGAACACGTTTTTCATTGAAGGGATATCTTTTTATGAAACTATAACCATGATATGATGAGGGGCTATTTCCAAATACGGCACCAGATGAGCCTCTACCTTTCCGTTTGTCTGTTGGTTTACATTGAAGAAATACATTTACAGGTGCAATTGTAAAATCAGAATGCTATAGTTATGCTGTAACAATCCATTTGCCGTTGAGGTACAGTCCATTATATATTCTTGCCCCCCCCCCCCCCCCCCCCCCCCCCAAATTCTTGAAAAAAATAGTTATGCTTCAGACTGTTGGAAGAAAATGCATGCCACGAACATTACATTCTTGAAAAAGACACTATATACACAATATACACAGATCATATGTAGATAGCCTGATCCGGTGCTGTTTCTTCCCTGATCCGGTGTTGCTTCTTCCCTGATCCGGTGTTGCTTCTTCCCTGATCCGGTGCTGCTTCTTCCCTGGTCCGGTGTTGCTTCTTCCCTGATCCGGTGTTGCTTCTTCCCTGGTCCGGTGTTGCTGCTTCCCTGATCCGGTGTTGCTGCTTCCCTGGTCCGGTGTTGCTGCTTCCCTGATCCGGTGTTGCTTCTTCCCTGGTCCGGTGTTGCTTCTTCCCTGATCCGGTGTTGCTTCTTCCCTGGTCCTGTGTTGCTTCTTCCCTGGTCCGGCGTTGCTTCTTCTCTGGTCCGGTGTTGCTTCTTCCCTGATCCGGTGCTGCTTCTTCCCTGGTCCGGTGTTGCTTCTTCCCTGGTCCGGTGTTGCTTCTTCCCTGATCCGGTGCTGCTTCTTCCCTGGTCCGGTGTTGCTTCTTCCCTGATCCGGTGCTGCTTCTTCCCTGATCCGGTGCTGCTTCTTCCCTGGTCCTGTGTTGCTTCTTCCCTGGTCCGGTGTTGCTTCTTCCCTGGTCCGGTGTTGTTTCTTCCCTGGCCCGTTTCTTCAAAGTACTGGCAGTGGGACCAGGCATCTTTAAGGAAGTCCCCACAACTGTGGAACATTTCCCTTTGGTTCGATTCTTAGAGAATGTGAACTCATCAAGTAATACTTGTGGGACTCCTCTCTGAGACTCAATGTATTGAACTCTGCGTATACTAGCCATGGTGGTGGTACCGTACTGTTGTTGTTCTTGTTGTTTTAGGTGTTTTTAGATTGCAAAAGGGACAATCCTTGTCATAGTGCTTTTTGTGACCGAGTGTGAGGCGTGAGATGGCTACTTCAGCTTTCCCTTCATTTGAGTATGAGTATGGCTTTTGGTGGATCTTGGGTTGTTTTTTGTATAGCCATCTGCCGATCTTACTTGCGTCCCACTGGGTTTGCCGTCTTTGGTCTATGGAGGGTTTGATTTTGCTTTTATCTCTAGTTTACGGAGGAAATAGGTTGTATCTCCGCTTTGTCTAGAACTAGCTTTGTCAGTGTGTCTGCTTTTTCATTTCCATGAACCAGCAGTGTTGTCGATAGGATTCTTAGATCCGTCAGTGTATATGTGGGTCCCGGTGCCCGACGTAGTTTGAATTTTAGTGATAGCTACTGATCGTAGAAGAGTTGGGTTTTCTTTATTTAGTGACTTCTGATGTTCAGCAGTGTCAATTTTGAGAGATTTTAAGTTCTAGAGACTTTCGAATTCTGGTGGCTGAATGTCATCACAGTTGTGACTTCGGATGAGTTCACGTACTGATATCCCAGATGGCTTTGTGAGGGTTTTTTCCGAGGGTTTTTTCCGAGCTAGGGTGCTTTTGTCTTGCCCTATTTTTTCCACCAAAGCGTTAGATGTTCGTTCACAGAACGATAATATTGCCTGCTCTCTTCTTAGTTTGAATGAGAGTTCTCCTGTTTCTACTTGTAGTGCTTCTAGTGAAGTGCCTGCTGCTGCACCCATGGCCAGCATTAGGGCTTTGTATTGTATTCTGTCAAGGCGGCTCAAGACAGTATCTGATGCTGATAGAAAGGCCTCACAACTTTAGTCTATTTTTGATCTGATAAGTGATTTGTAGATGTCCAGCTGAATGCCCCGCGATGTGCCCCACGATGCTTGAAATTGCCTGCAATACGTCCAGGTCTTTGTGACATCTGTTTTCCACATATTCTATATGTTTGCGCCAAGTGAGTTGTTGATCAAGGATTACCCCTAGGGTTTTTGCGGATTTTTCGAATATGATTCGTTTGCCTTTTATGGAGAGACGGGGTATCATAGTATATTTCCCCCTGCGTCTGAATAGAACTCCCACGGTTTTTTCACTTGAAAGGGTGAACTCCCATTTATTGCACCATTGATCTACTCCGTCCAGGACTGACAGGAGTTTTTTCGGATTTGTGAAATATCTCAGTGTTTTACCCATATTGCTCCGTCCCTACTGACTTAGACTTCATGTAATATAGTTCGGTACCTCTAGTACATGTGAGATTATATACAGGTTATGGAGACATTTTATCTATGTAATGCGTTCTTATACTACCTAACATTGTATTCAATGAAAATAATGCAAAACAAACTCAACGGTTAAAATGGTTTTATTAATCTTCGCTGCGTTTCCTATATTCTATATCAGTGAAAAAACCCTACTCAAAGTCTTTGCCAATAAAACACACGCAACCCAGACACAGATCAAACGCAATTTACAAACACAATCATAATCTGGTTAATCTGTATCACTTAACGAGTTGGAGTAGCTTACTCTGTCCTCAGTACAAGTATGGAGAAACTCATTACTTAGTTAGTAAGACCAGGCAGTTACACTGTTCTCACTTGACTGGCCTTGTCTGATGCTAAGGTCTTCTGACAAATGGGAGTAAACCGGTCGGCCCCTGAGCAAAAATGTTGTTTCAAACGCTAGTAAAATCTACATAACTGCCCAGTACACATGTCAGGTGCATGTGTACCTGTACATTATGAGCAATGTCCCATACTGTCAGCGTAACTATGTTGTCTGGTCAACCAGTACATTATGAGCAATGTCCCACACTGTCAGTGTATGTTGTCCGGACAATCAGTACATTATGAGCAATGTCCCACACTGTCAGTGTATGCTGTCTGGACAACCAGTACATTATGAGCAATGTCCCACACTGTGAGTGTATGCTGTCTGGACAACCAGTACATTATGAGCAATGTCCCACACTGTCAGTGTATGTTGTCTGGACAACCAGTACATTATGAGCAATGTCCCACACTGTCAGTGTATGTTGTCTGGACAACCAGTACATTATGAGCAATGTCCCACACTGTCAGTGTATGTTGTCTGGACAACCTGTACATTATGAGCAATGTCCAACCCACTCAGTGTATGCTGTCTGGACAACCAGTACATTATGAGCGATGTCCCACACTGTCAGTGTATGTTGTCATGACAACCAGTACATTATGAGTAATGTCCCACACTGTCAGTGTATGTTGTCCGGACAATCAGTACATTATGAGCAATGTCCCACACTGTCAGTGTATGTTGTCTGGACAACCAGTACATTATGAGCAATGTCCCACACTGTGAGTGTATGTTGTCTGGACAACCAGTACATTATGAGCAATGTCCCACACTGTCAGTGTATGTTGTCATGACAATCAGTACATTAAGAGCAATGTCCCACACTGTCAGTGTATGCTGTCTGGACAACCAGTACATTATGAGCAATGTCCAACCCACTCAGTGTATGCTGTCTGGACAACCATTACATTATGAGCGATGCCCCACACTGTCAGTGTATGTTGTCATGACAACCAGTACATTATGAGCAATGTCCATCACTGTCAGTGTATGTTGTCTGGACAATCAGTACATTATGAGCAATGTCCCACACTGTGAGTGTATGTTGTCTGGACAACCAGTACATTATGAGCGATGTCCCACACTGTCAGTGTATGCTGTCGGGACAACCAGTACATTATGAGCAATTTCCCACACTGTCAGTGTATGCTGTCGGGACAACCAGTACATTATGAGCAATGTCCATCACTGTCAGTGTATGTTGTCATGACAACCAGTACGTTATGAGCAATGTCCATCACTGTCAGTGTATGTTGTCATGACAACCAGTACATTATGAGCAATGTCCCACACTGTCAGTGTATGTTGTCCGGACAATCAGTACATTATGAGCAATGTCCCACACTGTCAGTGTATGTTGTCTGGACAACCAGTACATTATGAGCAATGTTCCACACTGTCAGTGTATGCTGTCTGGACAACCAGTACATTATGAGCAATGTCCCACACTGTCAGTGTATGCTGTCTGGACAACCAGTACATTATGAGCAATGTGCCACACTGTCAGTGTATGTTGTCATGGCACGCAGTACATTATGAGCAATGTTCATCACTGTCAGTGTATGTTGTCTGGACAACCAGTACATTATGAGCAATGTCCCACACTGTCAGTGTATGTTGTCTGGACAACCAGTACATTATGAGCAATGTTCATCACTGTCAGTGTATGTTGTCTGGACAACCAGTACATTATGAGCGATATCCCACACTGTCAGTGTATGTTGTCCGGACAACCAGTACATTATGAGCAATGTCCATCACTGTCAGTGTATGTTGTCATGACAACCAGTACATTATGAGCAATGTTCATCACTGTCAGTGTATGTTGTCTGGACAACCTGTACATTATGAGCGATATCCCACACTGTCAGTGTATGTTGTCATGACAACCAGTACATTATGAGCAATGTCCATCACTGTCAGTGTATGTTGTCATGACAACCAGTACATTATGAGCAATGTTCATCACTGTCAGTGTATGTTGTCTGGACAACCTGTACATTATGAGCGATATCCCACACTGTCAGTGTATGTTGTCTGGAAAACCAGTACATTATGAGCGATGTCCCAAACTGTCAGTGTATGTTGTCATGACAACCAGTACATTATGAGCAATGTCCCACACTGTCAGTGTATGTTGTCATGACAACCAGTACATTATGAGCGATATCCCACACTGTCAGTGTATGTTGTCGGGACAACCTGTACATTATGAGCAATGTCCATCACTGTCAGTGTATGTTGTCATGACAACCAGTACATTATGAGCAATGTTCATCACTGTCAGTGTATGTTGTCATGACAACCAGTACATTATGAGCGATATCCCACACTGTCAGTGTATGTTGTCCGGACAACCAGTACATTATGAGCAATGTCCATCACTGTCAGTGTATGTTGTCATGACAACCAGTACATTATGAGCGATGTCCCACACTGTCAGAGTATGTTATCTGGACAACCAGTACATTTTGAGCAATGTCCATCAGTGTCAGTGTATGTTGTCTGGACAACCAGTACATTATGAGCAATGTTCATCACTGTCAGTGTATGTTGTCTGGACAACCAGTACATTTTGAGCAATGTCCCACACTGTCAGTGTATGTTGTCTGGACAACCTGTACATTATCAGTAATGTCCCACCCGTCAGTGTATGTTGTCATGACAACCAGTACATTATGAGTAATGTCCCACACTGTCAGTGGATGTTGTCTGGACAACCAGTTACATTTTGAGCAATGTCCCACACTGTCAGAGTATGATGTCGGGCGTCGATGTACCGACATGATTGTGTCAGATTGTGTTTGCAATATTTGCATGTGATAGGAATACTCACGAGTGTAGTAGGATTTCATGTGGTCGAAGTTAGGTCATTTTTGACAGGAGAATGTATATAATAATATATAATCTACATATCCGAAAAATATTCGTACCAGTTTACTTTTATTCTTATTTGTACCATTCAACAAATTGTCACGTTAATACAAACATGACCTTTGTTGTTGTCGATTGTCATAACTAAAGTCGAATCGTTTATAGGTCAAAGTTACAACTGATTTCAGTAAGTGCGTTGTGTTTAACGCCACCGCTTGTACAGAATATGAGGCAAAGTGCCAGATAAATGTGGGATGAAAGCTCAGAGTGACCAAAAGGGACTGTGATGACAAATCAAAGACCATACTCCGGGCGCATCTGCATAGCGTATCACCTTGTCTTAGACCACTGGGAGTAGTATCGCTTCCCACAAAGGCCTTCAGTATTCCCATCGACAAATGCTTATTCGTGAGTGACTTGAGTTCAACGTCTATTTGAACAGTATTTAAATCATATCACGGCGTGACAGAATAGAATATATTTTAAACTCTGCTGATACAAAACATGAGGTGAGGTGAAATTGGGTTTAACGTCGCGTCCAAGATTATATAGCACTTATATAGCGACGTGCATGCACGTGTATGTGTGTGTGTGGCTGCTTGTACTAGTCCGGACTGATGCCGATTTATAGTGCTAGCTCACTGAGATACCATGCCGCAGTTTAACATGAATACCCCACTCAGACACAGTATACTGACTCCGAGCCGACCAGTCCTTGTTTTAGCCCCTTAATGCCGAGCGCCAGACAGGGTAACAACAAGTACAATCTTTTAACGTCTTTTTGTATGACGCGGCCCGGGATCGAACCCTGGACCTTCCGCTCTCCGGGCGGACGCTCTACCACAAGACCACGGAGACGGTCTACAAAACATGAAATAAAATGCGCTGCTCAACAGTTGAAAAAAAAGAAAGTCTGTTGGCATTCACGGCATCATTAATGAGCATATTAGCAATTCAGTAGATGCAATGTTAGATAATTGTTTCAAAATATTTGACATAAAATTCGACAGTGAAATAGTTCATGAATCGTTGCTAACGGGCATGATAAGAGCAATATATAAAATCAAAGTCGGAAAGTTACAGACCTGTCACTTTGCTAAACTGCATGGGGAAAATATTTACTTCAGTCCTAAACACTCGTCTTACAACATTGAAAGATAGCCGTGGGTTACTTTCAGAAGTATGGTTTGTTTGTTTCTTGTTTAACGCCGCACTCAGCAATATTCCAGCTATATGACAGCAGTCTGTAAATTATCGACTCTGGACCAGACAATCCAGTCATTGACATCATGAGTATCGATCCACGCCATAGGGATCGATGTCATGCATCAACTAAGTCAGCCAGCCTGACCACCCGATCCCGTTAGTCGCCGCTTACGACAAGCAGAATCTCCTTTTAGGGCAATCATGGGTTGCTGAAGACCCGAATCTTCACGGGTAACTTTCAGAAGTACAACCTGGATTCAGGAAAGGATATTCCACTCCCGATCATGTTTTCACATTGTTTCACATTGTTCCACAACTGGAAAAGACCAATTATATTGGTGTATATATAGATTTCTCTGAAGCATTTGACGCCGCCTCAAGAGCAAGCCTCTGGTAAAAACTTGTCACTGCTCATGCCGAAGGGAAGTGCTTCAATATAATACAGTACATGTATAAATATATAAAACTTTGTGTTGCTTGTAGAAATTCAACCAGTGATTGTTTATTTTAATGTTGGAGTGAGACAAGGTGAACATGTATCATCACCTCTATTTGTCCGAAGCGATGCACTTAGACATTTAACACTTTGGTGAACCCCATGAGACGGATATTGTGCTGACTAACCTGAAACATAATCGTGGCGAACCGGGATTCGAACCCACAATCATAGATTTCTGGTACGCCCAAGGGACGCAACTCTGCACGACGAATTGCCCGCTGAAGGTGATCGGACATACACGAATTGATTGCAGATGTCATCTTAATATTTGCAGTTCGTGACATTGCCTGAAACTGTTCGACAACTAAAGATACACTTCGACAACAGATCAATTCTTTCTTTGTGCTTCGTATTGTTCTCCTGTAGTGTTAACCCAAGCCTCACCAGTGCTCATGGGCTTTAACCTAGCAAAGCGTGACAGTCTACCTCAAAGATCAATATCCATCCCGCGGTGGATGTAAATTAAATTGATCTGGAAACTAAAAAAACCCTACAAGCCGTAAGCATAACACAACGAGCCCACTCCGCAGCAGATCTATCAGGTTTCTATGGCAACAAACAACAAACAATCGAATAAATAGATGAAGCTTGCTTTATTAACAAGAGACAGTTCCAGCACTTTGAAGTCATATCACAGTTCACTTTGATAAATATATAGAAATCGTACTGTTTTGAATTTTAGTTATATTGTTGTAAATTAATATAAAGTACAATATGAATTCTCTCCAAATGTAAAATACAAAACTAGTTCATGGCGTTAAATAGGAGCAGCATGCACCTACTGTATACATGTTTAATGTATTTTTCCCAAAGTATAAAATCAGCGCTTTATGTTGACTGGAGGTCATACATTCAAACTCTGTACATTATTTCAATTATGTTTGTCATTCTATCGACAATGCACTGTTTGGATATACAAATGACTCCTGTCAACCTACCCGCAATTCTTGTGCCAAAAGGTAAACATCTATTTCAAGTTATTTTATCTGGGTCTTCTCCAAAAGAACGTGAATCAAAAGGAGTGAGTGAGTTGGGTGTAACGCCGCCTTGAACAGTATTCCAGTTATATCACGGCGTGTCAGCAGTGTAATGTGGGAGGAAAGCCCAAATTGATGCAGGTCTCATACGTTTACCACTTTGGTGAAAACCACGAGCACGGGTCTGGTGCTGACAAACTAGAAACAAAATCGGGGCGAATCGGGATTCGAACCCATGATCACAGGTTTCTAGGGTGTCCAAGGACGCAACTCTGCATAGCGAATTGTAGCCTCAGATGACTTGGCCACGGATCGCAAGGGTGGTGTCATTAAACAAGATCTTTTCATTGTGGACTCTGACCACGATTCTATTATAACAAGAGTGGGACGTTTCCATCGTTAGCTCCACTCAATTACCGGTGCATAATATATAATATAATGAATGATTTCGATGACATATACAACTTAACAACAGAATATTATATATTGTTTGATTGTGTCGCGAAATTTAGCTGTTGGTACACAGTTTTACAAAGAAGGTTTGATGTCCAGATGTGTTAGAATGACATTCAAAACTCTTCGGGGCTTCATGGCAAAGTGTATGTTTTCTTCCTTGGTTTGTTCCACCTATTTGTGATTTATTTGTAAATATCCAAAACATACATCACATAATGTTTAGACTCATGACACAGCACAGATATGAAGGGATATTCTACGATAGAACACATCCATGTTTCAAAACATTACAACTACCGTGGGTTCAACTGCTAAACAAAGTGTCCAAAACACTAGCATAAGTTAAAAATTGAGTTCCATTGCGAAATGCCGACCTGTGAATTATTTATATTCAGTGCACTAAGGAACCTCTATATACAAACAACCCAGACAAATAACACATTGTCACAATGTGGGGAGGGGGTATATATATAACCTATGATACTATGACTATATTCTCGAAACAGACCTAGTTCATACACGATTCAGCTGATCTTCATTGGATGTTGTTTCCTGCAAGCCGTGACAAGAACGTACTTTGATTTAACACATTTTAAACATTTTAGAAATATGATAAGTATTTCTCTGAAACAATCTGACACCAGACGAATACGTCCTTCCACGCTGTCTGGAAACCAGGAACGGGTATGGTGATTATTGAAGAAGGATTGGCCGTGTCACACACACTTTGACCTCTTGTACACGGTCAGATCAGAAATAATTTCATTTGAACTGTATATGCATATACGCGGCTGAAGCAGAACCACAGTAACACTGATAAGTGCGTGATCTCCGAATATGTGATTTGACCTTACTGAATAATTTGGTAGCTTTTGCAAAGTTTCAGATGAACTTACACCAAGGCTTACACGAGTCTTACACGAGTCCAGTGGGAGAGTACCACCCAACAGATTTAGCTGCCATGCACAATCATCATGGAACATCGATTGATGTTTCAAAGATTGCAAATATGTTTAACGCTAAACAACCGAGATGAACGTTCACAGCAACAGCTTTCACGTGGACATTGGTTTTCAGGCTGAGTATTTATAATAGTTTTAAAGTCTGTACTCCTTCGAAGATGTCCTCAAGCAGACAGAGTTCTCTGCGAAGCCTATTGTATTTATTTGTAATGGTAGACTATAATTCGCGTGTGACATAACCAATTCATAGTTTCACTTGCCAGACTAATGAATGAGCATGTATATATATACAGGAAACCCTAGACACCCCACCCACCTGGATCCGCTAGTGATCCCTAGCCTCTTTGAACAGTTTTTCAGTTACGGGTACTGGTATATCCCGATATTCCACCTTTCCCCTTTCAGCAGTAACCCCCCCCCCCCACACTAAGAGCTTTATGACATGAACAAATTTGTCTTCTCTCTCCCATAGTGTTACCTCACAAACTGACTGTATCATTAAGCCGTTTCTATACATCTATGTACATACAAACACCAGTACATCGAGGTGTGAATCTACTACCCCAGATGTGTTCATTGACAAATGCTTACGAATATATTTGAATAATATTGCTTGAATACAAACATTTCTGTAATAGCCAAAGATGTTATACTAAGGAAGCATTGTGCAGAATCATTATGCTATGTGAGCGTTTATATGCGTACATGGTAACACGCGTTAACCTTTGTATGCATATCCGCATCACGAATGGTATATCCGTTAACAAATCATAACAAAATGACCAAATAATAGTAACATTTTGACTTGGGCACAATTGTAACGTAAAACATGTAAAAACATGTTAAAGGTTATTCTAAAAGAAGAACAGCAGAGACTTTGAAATACAACGCATGAAAATACGATCTAATTTAATGTGAATGTGTTGAAATGTAAAATATGTGTTCAAAGTGAACACTGAACGAAGACCGGCACAGACTTTGGAATATAGCGTATGGAATATACGGATTACAACTTAATGTTAGCTTGCCCTATGTACAGAGTTGTTGTATATATTGTATGGGCAACTTACCCTTATTCGAATGGGTGTATTTTGAACTTTAATAGAACTGAGCACAACCTTATTCCGTCGTGTTATCGTCGTGTGGTTGAAGAAGATTTTGAATAATATTACTATTTGGTTTGACTGGGTTTAACTTGATTCAGCTATGGGCTGTGTAATTTGGTCAGAGTGTCTCGCGGACCCTGAAAGAAACATATGCAATACAGACATGCAAGTTTACATTAGCGGGAAAGTTTAGATTACTGCAATATGAAGTATCTGGGCTCCCTTTTCTTATATTTTATTAAGATAATTTCACAACTGTCTTGATCTGTAAAATATGTTCATTTCAGAGACTAGATGTTAGTCTGTAATGTGGTCCAAGCATCAGTCTGTAGGATATGAAATAGTGCTTCAAATATACTACAGTAATAAATCAAGTATTAACATTTTTATATCACAAAATGAGTCTCTTTCAGATACCGCTTTTGAAACGAGTGTACTTGGAGATAGCGTACAATATCTTTTGATTTAGAAACAAATTATGAAATTATAATAACAACATGTAGTTGTGATTATAAGTATGTATAAGTATAAGTATACATATAAATCACTGCCTGCTATAAATTAAATATGACATTAAAAATAGAGCAAAATATTAATATACATTAATATATATATACACGACACCATTTATTAGTGCCTTACACGGAGTTTTGTAAGGAATACGCAATGAAAGCATATGAACTCATGTACGTATCATCGTGTGATTGGAGATGACGCGGCTTCGGACACTATTTCACGTACGATAGGCCATGACGTGTCAGCTTCACGTGAGGGGAACGTGACGGGTAAGTTTTATACGTTGCCACTGTAGTGAAGCCCACGATAATGGATCCAACAAACCTGGACGACATGAGGGGCGAATCTCGGATTGGAACCCGCGACCAATGGAGAATCGGTTCAACAATAAGTTGATGCGCTTAGACAACTGTTTCCATCTGTACCCCTGTATTACTGTTGGTTAGTGTTTGTTGTGAGTGTATATCAGTGTCTGTGGCTCTATGACTGAAAGAGGTGCTAGGCTCGGCCAACTTGCAGTCCTAGGAAATTTGAATGGAACAATAAATGATACGTAATTACAAAGACGTCAAAAGGCACTAATTGCAGCGGAAATGGGCACCAGGGATCTAAGGGATCCTTTTCAAAGACAATAATAAGGCACAAAAATATACACTAGTATAAGGGAGAAAGGTAACTTCCGCTTCCGCTGTCTATGTGGAAACATCGGTCCTTACTCTTCGTCTTTTCTGTTCACTTCGTTAACCACATTTCTTGTCTGAAACAGAAAACCTGGGTAGAGAAATGCAATCCCAAGGAGACACATAGGTGAGTTTGGAAGATAGAAGCAGTGTCGCAGGCACATCGAAGAACACCAGGGGTAAACTGAGCATATCAGTGTGAGGGGTCGAACTTGGATTCTCGGCGTAACGAGCGAACGCTTTAGCCACTAAGCTACGATGGACATGACAACAGCGAAGCTTCTTATGGATACTACACTGGGGAGAATAATGTTATTTCTTTCATTGTTTTGAAAAAGAGCCTGGTTGGGACGATAATTGCAGTGTCAGTGATTTTTCAATAATCTATTGACTAATGCTTATTGGCCAAGGGATTACGATCTCACAGACGAATGATCTTGGCCCACGCCCTTGGTGAACGCTCCTGACTAGAACGCAGGACTAGAATGTTCCAAATCCGATTCAGTATTTACTTAAGAGGAGAATCTTCCAGTTACCCTAACCAGGACTTGCCCAAGAAGACTAGATTATTTTCAGTTCCAATATTCAGGGCTTACCTAAGTGAAAACTACCTCAGTTCCTTGATTCAGGAGCTTACCAAGACTTAGTGTATTCTATCTTACTTTCCCGATTCAGTATTTACCGAAATGTAAATTATTTCAGCTCTAAGATTCATAGATTACTCAAGTGTAAACTACCTCAGTTCCTCGAGTCAGGAGCTTACCATGACTTAGTGTATACTATCTTACTTTCCCGATTCAGTATTTACCTAAATGTAAATCATCCCAGCTCTAAGATTCATCGTCTACTCAAGTGTTAACTATCACAGTTCCTCGATTCAGGACCTACCCAAGAGTAGAATGTTCCAGCTCCGTGACTGTTTCTCTTTACGTCGTCCATGTCGTACTTGGAGATGAGTTTGTTCGCCGTCTTGGCTTGTCCCGCCTCGACACCGACAATGTCAAACTGACCAACCCTCCTGATGACATTGTTTTGACCTATTGTCTTCATCAGCTTCACGATTCTCTGCCACTGAATATGACCAATATGAGAGCTGTGATTTTACTTAATATACGAAATGGGTGCAGTCATAGTCAGAGACACAATATCATAGTTTTATTAGGAAGTGCATAAACCCACATTTTACTTAAGTCACTTTTAAGATGCTTTATAATACATAATGATTATAATTTTTGTGTTTGGAAAGCTTCCTGATGATATTAAGCTCAAAGTGCACTTTAATACATGTTATTAAAACAGTTTTCATAAAATATGACATTAAGATATAATATTAAAAAGAAAACTCTCTGTGTTTGTCCAGTGAGTTTGAATGTGTGAAAAGATGGATTTTCTATGCCCGAAATATATCCAGACTATGGAGCTTCATCACCGATGGCCAAGTACCCAACCCAATACGTGGCCCACAATAATTGTGTCACGCTAATTCAGCGCTGTTTAGAGCCCTGTGGTGCTGATTAATCAGTGTTCACACATACGTCCACCTTTATGAGTATACGTGTCGATGTCAACACCAGTTCTACATTACATCACGACCTACTCACATCGAGAGTTTCTTGCTTCTCTCCCAGGACTATGTAGGTCGCCTTCATCACGTCCTGGATACATGGCTTAGGTCTCTTGTAGCTGGCAATCTCGGACACCAGACGGGGGTTCAGGTCCATCACCTTCATTCAGAAGAAAGGTGTTAAGGCCAATAAAACAACACATACGTGGAGTTTGACATTTTAAGGTTATAAAAGTAATTAAATTTTCACCGAAATTGTCCATCCCATGGAAGGTCCAGCACAAAACATCAGACTACACAAATATTACATGTTTAGTACCTGTCTATTGAACTTCTTGACCCTGGCCAACTGCTCGTTTGTTTCCTTAGCCTCCTGGAAGTCTTCAGTGTCGTCCAGCTTGTCCGCCACGGCCGACTTTTCTGCATCTTCTAGAGCCTTCTGGAGCTTCTCTGCGTCACGCTGTCTCCTAGCTTCCTCTAGCTCTTTTGGTAAATGAAAAAAAAAATTGAATGACTTGCCTAAGTGTTCATCGCGTTTTGGTATCCTTACAAGGTGACAACGGAAAGTTGCCAAAACTGGTTGTTTAAATAATACTGTCTTTAGTTAATAGTATTAACATGTTGATGTATGGCAACATATGGCATTGCTGCACACTCTGATACTGTAGTCCACGTACTTTCCTTGTGCATGTCCATCAGGGTCTTCTCAGCCTTGGTGATGTCACCCTCGTCCTCCAGCCCAGCTCTCTTACAGTCCTCTAAAGCCTTGTCCAGAGCATCCATGTTGTCGCCAGCCTGCGCCTCATCCAGCTTCTTCCGCAACTTGTCTTCTTCGGACTTCACTAGTTCTAGATGGAGTTAAAGACAACGTCATAATGTTTTCACGTGTGCATCTTCTCGTTTCGTTTCTACTACACAACTTTACACATTCAGCTTCACATTTACAAGTCGAAATAAATTCTTAACGTTGAAATATTCTCGTTTATTTGTCACATTTTACCATTATCGTTATAAATGTCATACGAAGCGTTGGTGATGGTCGTGATCCTAATTTATCGCCTTTAAAATATACTTTGCATGGCTGTTCATCCCAAGTCAGCATATACTGGACTCTTCTTTACGAGTTTATGCTCCGTAACTAGACTTACTATTAGCCTTGAGCTTGACAAGCTTCTCCTTGGCCTTAGTTAGGTCTTCGTCCTTCTCATCAAGGCCTGAGTCCTCAAATTCCTTGATGGCCTTCTCCAGTTCATCTGCAGATGCATTCTCCGTGGCATCCCGCATCGCCTCGCGTGCTCTCTGAGGATGAGATGCAACAAATAAACATCAGCCATTTTCCTCAATGATTAATATCAGACCTCAGAAACGCCCAACACACATTTTGTTGTACATTCTGTGAAATAGCTGTCCTGAAATCAAACACAAATATAGAACATATATTTAATAAATTGTGTTTCTGTTAGATCTCATCGTAGCATAGGCAATACTTCTTTATTATCATTATAATGACCACTATGTCATCAATAATCGTAGAAACCACATTACCTCGTCCTTTGGTTCTGGCTCCTGGTATGCATCGTTCTTCAGTTGTCTCAATCTCTCCTTGGCAAGGGTTAGGTCTCTGTCCCTCTCGTCAATACCGGCCTCCTCAAAGGCACGGATAGATTTCTCCAGGTCCTCTATAGAATCTCCATCTGTATCGTCCCTCATTCGTTGTCTGATAGCCTGTCAACGTTGATAAAAAGTTCACTCTCAATGTGTAATTAATCTACATTATGTCTGCAGGACTATCTGTCATCAGAGCGTAAGATTCACCAGGCAAAGAGTTTATACTGAACCACCAATGTCTATCATTATCAGTTTAGTTAGGCTTAAATTCATATATATCTAGCTATATGAAAGTGTCAAACTCAAAGGGAAAAACATTCCTTGAAAAACAGTCTTGAACTGTCTTTGAATGGCATTTAGAAGTGATACACGTAAGGAAGAGATTGTATGGATGTCAGCTTCTATATTATGAGGGACACAACGTTTTGAAGTATATACATACTCCTTCATTAGGTGAATGCCTAATGAAGGAGAAAGCATGTACTCCGAAACGTTGCGTCCCTCATAATAAAGAAGCTGACATCCATAAATTCTCTCCCACAGTCTTGAACTGACTATTGAACAAAAATATGAAATGATCAAGTGAACACAGAACACTATTCATGTGGAATTAGCTCTATCTAATTGTGCTCTATATTCCACCTACATCTTCTTCTTCCTTCTTCTTCTTCAGCTGTTTCAGCCTTTCCTTAGCCTTGGTCAGATCCTGGTTCTTTTCATCCAGGTCTCCATCCTCAAAGTCTTCGATTGCCCGTTCAAGGTCCTCGATAGAGTCTTCCTTTGTGGCATCACGCATGCGCTTCCTTATGGCCTGTGTAGGGAGACAAACATAGTCATGAGCATTAGTGGAGATTTGTGTATGCAAGATGGTTGATGGCCTTTAGAAATTCCCTTCTATGTTTCATTCTTTACTTGTGCCAGGATCGGCGGATTATGGGTTCATATTTAAGATCAGGCCCCATATTAATCTTTGATTTTTAAGTCAGCCACATACTGATGATCCTGGGTTTCATCAAATTGGTAACTATTTACATTAATCTGAAAGTAATATCAGCCATTCATGATCTTTATGCACTTTGAGCGAGTCGGTGAAGGCGCAGCAGCTCGTGGCATTCACAGTTTACTAAACTAGTACAAGAAACTCTCCTATGGCATGGGTGTCCCAGTCATCTAAGGCGCCGAAATTCACTGTGCAGAGTTCCATCCCATGATCGCGCATTCTAATATCTGTTCATCAAACTCGTGGTGGTAACACCAAGGTTGTACGTCTTTGACCAGCATCTTAGCTTCCCTCCCACATCTGACACGTCGTTATAACTGGAACACTGATCATTCCAATTACATTTAATTTACTCTTACCTCATCCTTGTTAGCTTTGTTCCTGAGCTGCACAAGCCTCTCCTTGGCTCGGGTAAGATCTTCATCCTTCTCATCCAAATCTGACTTTTCAAAGTCCCTGATGGTTCTCTCCAGATCCTCGATGGAATCTTGATCGGTGGCACCTCGCATGCGGAACCGGGGACTCTGGTAACACATAGTGACAGATAGAAGTATCTAGTCACGTGTCTATTATCTATACATTATGAAATAACGTTTAACAGGTTAGATTTACTATTGGCGTAAGATAACATGATTCATAACAGTGCAATTGTACCTCAGATCTGACCGGTGTCCGTGGCCGCTGTCTCGGGGCAGGCTTCTGCTGGACCCTGACTTGTGCACGCGCTGGCCTCTGCTGGACACGGTTATTGGGTTTGGCGTCTGAATCATCCTTCCACTGGGCCTTGTCCGGCGTCAGGAAGTAGTTACAAACGTTCCTGTAGGAGTCGTGGCTGTCCTTCTCTCTAGTGTTAATCTCCAGAGCATATTCCGAGTCTCTAGTTAGACCTTCCTCCGGCATTGTCACGGTTATCTCAGCTTTTTTGTCGGTGACGTTTTTCTCGACATATTTGTCGAGTTCATCAAGTGTCTTGTCTCGATGATGCATCTTCGTCTCAAACTCGACAGGCTTGTCAACATCAAACTCAAACGTCATCTTCTGTCCGTGTTCCATTACTACAATGCCGCTGTAGGCGGAGGTGGTGACAAGACCAGCGTCCTTGGCTTCTTGGCTATAGCCATAGCCTATGTCCTTCTTTAGAGGGAAAGGGTTAGGGTTCTTCCCTTCTTCTTCACAGCGGATACGAAAGTCACAGATATGGGGTGGGTTGGATCCATTGCCACCATATACACGGAGTTTATAGAGTCCCCTCACTGGGAATCTAAGGAACAGAGACTTCGTTGTGCCTTGGGTGTTCTCAAGAACATATCGTTCCAGTTCCTCCGATTCCGGCAACGTTTCATCTGATTCATCTTCATCGCAAAACAAATCATAGGAGAGAGATGGATTTTTGTCTTTCGCATGTTCGAATCGTATGGCTTCTTTGCCGTTCTTTGCAACAAGATAACATGTTTGTTGGCTTGTCAATTTAAGTCCGGAATTGAAGTATTCTGTTGTGAGATATGGTGCTTTGACAAACTGCTCCTCGCTCCATGGTTCCTTGAGGAGCTGCCATGGTTGACTGTTTGCACGGCAGAAATTCACAAAGTTTTCGGGGTCAGTGAGGAAGAAAAAATCCTCGTTTGCTCGGATGTCCTTGCCCTTGTATTCTATTTCTTTCTCACGTTGACCTTCACCTTAAAAAAAGAGAAGGAAATGAAACACGAAATCAACTTTGCATCCTGAACTAATAGTTGAGCTAAGTATTAACACAAAAATAGTTGTCTATAACAAATGCTGTATATAATAAGTTGTAGCAGTATCACGAGAAGTACATGTCATTTTATGTGTCATATCCCAGGGATTTCCAGGGTATGTGGGGGGTGGATGGGGGAGAGTGGAGTGTGTGTGTGTGTGGGGGGGGGGGGGGGGGGGGGGGGGGGGGGGTGACCTATGCATTCATTTCAGAATATTACGTAGAAATATATATCAAACCAACACCGATTAAACCTCGAGCACCACTAGGAAGTAATAATTTCATTGGGGGTATTTCTTATCACGTCAATAACATGAAGCAGTAGGTCGTTTGCATGGTCACACGTATGCACCAGCCAGAAGAAATATATAGTTTCATATATTTTGGAAGAGACCGTTTATGAACATTAAACGCATGACGTTATTGAGATGTATGTGGCCAATGCGATAAATAAGTTACTTCCACCTGTATGCATACCTTTCCTCTCTATCATCGTCCACTTGCCATTACTGTGTCCCTCTACCCCAGTGAAGGCCCAGAGGGGGTGCACCAGCCGCCATTGACCTCCCACATGTACAGCATTCCACTTGCTGTTGAACTTTGACACGTCCTCATCACCAGGCTCGTACCCAACAGCCTTGGCCTTGCCTCTCAACACAACACATGGGATCTTGGCAGCTCTGAAAGCGAAATAAGGAGCCGTGAAGTATTTTCTGAATGATGTTTTGTCTCCACACGGACATGACGTTCTCCTGATGTAAGGTAAGCAACTCGAAAAGATTCGAGTCTTTATCATTGGAACGCGTACTTTTTTTAATATTCTCCCAAAATGTTTGGTTTTATTGTTATTATTATATTATACATTTATAAACTGTGCTTATCCAGGTACTAGTATCTGCTCAAATGCGTTTGTTTTTTCTACTTGTTCCCCGACCAGTGGATCCGTTTGCATTCCAGTTATCATTCCCAACCCCTTGGGGGGTATATAACCTGAGCTGCCTACGGGCGCTAGAGGGTTTTTAGATCCACCTTAAATATCGATGCTGGGTGAACAGGGGCACATTTGAACTAAGTCACTTGCCCAGGGTGACACCATACGTTTTCACACTTGTGTTTCGGGTGTATGTACGTATTCGTGTTTCCACCATCTGGTCATCTACCATCGGACGAGTAGGTTCTTTTGAGTGCACATGGTGCAGTACTCTGTACTAGGGGTAGTCACAACACTGTAAAGACCTGTAAACATTGTTGGTCCCAAGGCTGAATAACAACCCGGTCACTGGCGGGATACGATCTCAGCACCTGCCCACCCCTTAAGAGTGAAAATTTGTTGATCCTATCTTCTTTATTATGAGGGACAGAACATTTCGGAGTATATGCTGACTCCTTCACAAGGTGAATGAAGGAGTGAGCATATACTCCGAAACGTTGTGTTCCTCATAACAAAGAAGTTGCCATTCAATGCCATTGATGTTTGTTTCTGTCGCTTCTATTTATGCTTAACTTTGCCAATGGTAGTCAACATGATCATGTAACCGAGGGTGACATTTTACCAGGTTATGAAATCAAAATAAAAGACTTAGAAAAATTGTTTTAGAAAATGAAAAGTCCATGATATTGAGTCGATGTGTACACGAAGATAGATTGAAACTTCCTCACCGTGTCCTTGGCTGCACTGAAACGTCACATTGATTTCTCGACATGTCACAAGGTCACTGAATGAAGGCTAAATGTAAGTGCATCACACACCGACCTGCACAGCAGAGAGAAGAACGCCGCATAGCTTCCACGCTGTTGTTGTATGAGTTTCATGTAGCCGACAGGGGTGTTGGGGTCCTTGACGTTCCCCAGCCTCATCTGCTCCATGCGCTGAGTCCCCAGCCAGGTGAAGATGGCGCGCACCATCTGGAGGTCCGTCTTCAGGTCCTCGAACAGGTAGTTGAGGAGGGACTCGTAGTCTGACGTCACGGAGGACGACGCCTGGAATGTCAGTAACGGGTACGTTAGAGACAGGATTGTTATCATCATTACTTTTATACGTGAGGGTCGTCACTAACTCATTGATTGTGTCCACGGTTAAGATTACTCTTAGAGTGATATAAAGTTAGAATTATTTCTTTAGCTCAGGACCCGGGGCTCCCGACCGACTATTAGAACCCCCATGGTAATGACAAACCCCAGGAATCTTGGACCTGGCGGCTTGCACGCGCTTGCTTCTGAGGAGTTACCTTGCGCTATTTTGTTACTGGTGAAATGGAGTGGTGAAATTAGAAGAGTGTGTGAGTGAGTGGGTTTAACACCGCTTTTAACAGTATTCCAGTTATATCACGGCGTGACAGCTTAATGTGGGAGGAAAGCCCGAAGTGATGCAGGTCTCAGACGTTTACCACTTCGGTGAAGCCCACGAGCACGGGTATGGTGCTGACAAACCTAGAAACATAATCGGGGCGAACCGGGATTCGAACCCACAACCATAGGTTTCTGGCGTGCCCAAGGGACGCAACTCTGCACAGCGAATCGCGGCGCCTTAGACGACTGGGCCACCCGTGCCCCCGAAATTAGAAGAAGGACTTGGGACCTTAAAATAAGCAGTGTCCTTAATGACACTTTGACTGGTCTGACATTGACTATGTGGTGCAATTCATAAACTTCCCAATCATCGCATGTGTAATGCAATGGTCACATTTGACTTGCATATGCATGTGATGGTGATGGGTGACACAGGTGGGGCAGGATACTCTAACCCTTTCGCGAACACATGGCATCATCACTATTTTATAGTGATTAATAAACACATGCGCACGTACGAAATCGTACAATCGATTCTGCTTTTAGCAGATGTTTCTTATGAATATGGAAATGGTTTTGTCGCTTTTATTTATATGTTTGTTTTGTCTATTTGAGAAGAAGTGAAGGTAACCAGTTTTATCAAATTGAAAATTATCTAAAACTTGCAAACTCTGATTTGGAGACGAAGAAATGCTGTATGGATAACTGACAAAGGCAAAGACACTTAACAACCTCATACAGAATTTTGGCCCACATGGGTGAGTGAGTTAAGTTCAACGTCACTTTGTAAATAAAATTCAGAATGTAACGGTATGTCAGCTTAATGTGGGTGGCAAGACGAAACTGACGCTTACGAGACTTCACGTTTTCGATGGGTTTAGTGAGGATAAGCCAAGGATCAAAATGAGACCGAAACTGGGATCAGAACCCACTTTCAACGGGTCCTTGCACGACTTAGGAACGCAACTCCGAATTCAAACCCCTAAGACAATCAGCACCCCCTGGTAGATACGAGCAGTTTGAAAAAAGATTAGCTGTGGAGCCAAATAGATGCGGGGAGAGTACCACGGCAACACTGAGTCTATTTGTGTCTGATTAGCAAACCTATCCAAAGGTAAGACGACTGACTGCTGAAATGATGTCAACAAATATGTGCACTCAAACCCCATTATTACAAACTCCTCCACATTTACTGAAACACAAATAGTTCTAACAAGATCGGTACCAATTAATCTTAATCCTTCGTGAGACATGAACCAACACTCATTAAGCCCCACAGTTACAAATGGTTACTTTCATGGCCTTTATGTCTCTAATAGAGCTTTTATGTAAATTATATCTTTATTCCGTGCACGCTCCATGTCCTTTTCCTTTTGGCCTGTGGAATTAGATCTGCATAATTTATACTTTTACGCTTAACGATGTCATGCTGGGTTTGTGCGAAAGACAACATTATCATGCGTTACGTGTTTGATTGACATCGTTCAATCAGCTGTAGGCGTGTAGCAGGTCAGCATGCCACAGCGATTTTATTGCCTGGACCGTGTTATTTTGTTTTGTGGCATCCTTTCATATATCACCATGGGAACGGACATACGCACTTGGGCACAAAAGGTTTAGTGAGGTTAACGTATGCATCAAGCCAAAGGAGGACGCCGATTCTTTGTGAATGGCTCCAGATGGATGGATATATAGATTTAGAGTCTCACGAGAAATGGAACTTATTCTGACATCAAAATTTGGCCTAATAGTGTTATGTCTAATCATACAGACAAACCTATGTGTTAGCTAATATATAATATACCTTCATGAGATGAAGCCATTTATATAAAGAATGAATGAATGAACGAACGAACGAATATAAACTGTTGTAAACAGATGACATAATGGATGTAAATTAATCTAAGGTGGGATTTACAGCTTGCAACTTCACTTAAATAGTCATATTACATACTACATGGAAATGGTATACATCCTCCATTGCAGGTAAGTTCACAAATTCTCAATCTACATCGAAAGTGTGTTAGAACTATTTGATATTGTGTCAAATTAACCTCAAAAAGATAAATCTGTGTTGATGCATTTGTTGGAGGGGAATATAAATTAAAGCCACTTAAAAGCACACATCTTCAAGAGTTTGTGTTATCGATAGCAGAAGAGAACCTGCATCATTTGGTACACACTGATTGTTCCACACATACTACCATCTCCACACTCGTATAACAGGCATTTGACGTGGTGATATACTGAAACATACGCAGTGGTCAAAGTCAAGTCAAAGTCGGAGATAGTTATTGTATTTAAGGACTCCGGCCCATATACAAAGGAGTTACATGTAAGTAGTTTTACATATTTGGATATATACTAATGTTTACCAATTCGTTTCTGAGGGAACTTTCATTTCTAAAATATATAGCCAGTTTTAATGTGACAGCATCATCTTTTTAAGAGAGAAGAGAGATAAATGCAGGTACAGGGTAGTTTGACAGATAGCCTTCTGGTATAAACCTTTTCTTAGATCACGATAATAAGGACATACAAAAGTAAATGAATTTCATTTTCTATAGCTGAATGACATAATGGGCATAACCTCTTCGATGTTTCAGTGGACATTTTTTTCCTTCATTATCATTAGAGCAATCCAAGCCTAAATTGAATAAATTTATTCACCCGCACTCTCCACTTGAGGTACATAGTTTTGCACACATCTTTTACATTTGGACCAGCTCTATTGCCCGAGACTCGTAGAAACCGTACCTCTGATCCATGACAAATTTTGATATTGTTACATAGAGTCTGGATCATAAACCAATGGCATTGACAACGATCGACTTCGGGCCACGATGACAGAAAATGTCTAAGACGTTTTGAAACAAACGTACAATGACACACAATGTCTTAGATGTCGAGGTACAATGATATTCAATGTCTTAGACGTCGGAGTACGATGATATTCAATGTCTTAGACGTCGGAGTACGATGATATTCAATGTCTTAGACTACGGGGTACGGTGACACACAATGTCTTAGACTACGGGGTACGGTGACACACAATGTCTGAGACGTCAGGGTACGGTGATACACAATGTCTGAGACGTCGGGGTACGGTGACACACAATGTCTGAGACGTCGGGGTACGGTGAAACACAATGTCTTAGACGTCGGGGTACGGTGACACACGATGTCTAAGACGTCGGGGTACGGTGACATTCAATGTCTTAGACTACGGGGTACGGTGAAACACAATGTCTTAGACGTCGGGGTAGGTGGCACATAATGTCTGAGACGTCGGGGTGCGGTGACACACAATGTCTGAAACGTCGGGGTACGATGACACACAATGTCTGAGACGTCGGAGTACGATGATATTCAAGGTCTTAGACTACGGGGTACGGTGACACACAATGTCTGAGACGTCGGGGTGCGGTGACACACAATGTCTGAGACGTCGGGGTGCGGTGACACACAATGTCTTAGACGTCGGGGTACGATGACACACAATGTCTGAGACGTCGGAGTACGATGATATTCAAGGTCTTAGACGTCGGGGTAGGTGGCACACAATGTCTGAGACGTCGGGGTACGGTGACACACAATGTCTGAGACGTCGGGGTACGGTGACACACGATGTCTGAGACGTCGGGGTACGGTGACACACGATGTCTGAGACGTCGGGGTACGGTGACACAAACTGTCTTCGATGATGTATGTGTGTGAGTGTGCTCTAACAAGCAAATGATGTGTTTTAAGCCTCTGGGTCAGGAAAAATGTCTCAGACATTGTGTGTCACCGTACCCCGTAGTCTAAGACATTGAATATCATCGTACTCCGACGTTAGCCTCCGACAAGCAAACACTTGATGAAGACACATATACTGTTCCTCAACATCAAAACACATGATGCTCCATAACAACAATAAATGTTTTGTTTGTTTGTTGTTTAACGCCGCACTAGGCAATATTCCAGCTATATGACGACGATCAGTAATTAATCAAGTCTGGAAAGGCAATACAGTGATTGACATCATGAGCATCGATCCACACAACGGGGATACGATGCCATCCAACAACCAAGTCAGCGAGCCCGACCACCAAACAACAATAGGGACACGAGTGTCCAGTCATCTACGTCACTGTAATTCACTGTAAAGAGTTAAGACGCTTAGGCGTGCAAGAAACATATGACTGTTCCTCCCAAAAATGTTGGCACGACGTGATATAATTGTTATATATACTGTTCAAAGCGGCGTTAAATCAAACTCACCTATTCATTCCCTCTTTCGAGAACAATACAGTCTGAACAACAAAACTTGTGCTTTTCATCAACAACAATGTATTGTAGCTTAACAGTGCTAATGCAGCTAATGCTAATTCGTCAAAACTGTAGTTTCTGAGAGAGGCAGAAATAGCTCGAAATATGTCATGTTTTCACATCATGCATTATGTTCGACAAAATGCATTTGATGTAGCTTGAGAGCATGTAGGATGTAACGAAACAACAGTGCATGAGGGGTACTAATCTCTTACAATAGAGCATAACCGCTTCATAATCATAGGGTTACATAATTTAGGAAAATGTATTTGAAAAAGTGCTGAAGAATATGACACAAAAAACTGGATGTTTACTTATTGATATTATGACTGTACCCAACCGAACTAATCACCAAGAAAACTCCGGTCCTCGATGCGTACTTTCATTAGTGTAAGTGTGTGGGGATGTTTATCGTTCGTACCCATAGTAAAATGTAAACACAGAGTGCTGAAAACACAGTCATAGATTTGTGTGTTGATGTCTGGTGAAGACTCGGAGGAGGAGGTTTTATTGTTGCCATCGCTACCACCGTCGAAGGGAAATAGGAAGATATGTATAAAGGCTCATGTTTATTTAAACTTAGTGGTGCTGTGACGTATGTAGGTGTGTGATCTGACACAATGTCAATGTCATTTATTGACGACTCATTTATTTTTGCGATCTTTACGAATTTATGGAATTACAGATGATAAATAGGCAGGAAGCACAACCTCAAGACTTTAATATTCAACCTCCTTTGTTGTTCTAGAAAATTAACATTATTATAGAAAATGTTTGATGACTTCTCTGGATTATGAAATTATAAATTATGATTAAATGGAGCAAGAACTGAATAATGTTTAAGTTTGAGGAGATGTTCTGTATGTTCACTATAACGGGTATGTGTCGCTTAACTTCATCTATAACTTACATATGGCAACAAAGCCTTTATTGAGGGAATTATTGCAATATACATGTGGTTACTTAATGGATATTTTGGCACTATACACACGAGTGGTTCTAAATGGTTTGATATGGTTTGACATTCTCAAATAGGTATATGATAGACTCGATGTGGATAAGCGTCTGAGTTGAAAAGTAATTTAATTATATGACTGATTATCAGTTTGATGTGCGACAAAAGCCCCAAATGACACGCGTTTTGAACAAGAGCTTTGGCGCAAGAGATGGGTATGATGCTGCAGGTCCGGGCACAGCCAAGGTAAGCAACACAGCACAGCGTCTCAGACAAGTTGGCTACCCTTGAAGTTGAATATAGGCAAATACGAATGGTGACTCTTCAGCGCTACATGTATTTGCAAAACAATTTCTGTTTGTGTTTGTTATAAACAGCCGTCTCCCGATATATCGAAGGCACGGGGGAACTTCTATATAACCGGGATACGAGATGGAGAGACACGAGGCTAAACATGGGTAGATTTGGTTGGGAATGGGTCAACTTCAACTAAAATGTGTTCTTAGATTAGTTTACAGATACCGATCATCGTCTGGACAGTGGTATAAGGAACGCAACTTCAGTAATGGTTGTCCTGGAGTTCTGACAAATCCGATAATCTTATAATAGTGAACTGTTCAAAGCGTTAATTTAAGTATCGATCTGTAAACACTTTCCTCTTTTCGAAGACTTGCCAAGTGAGGATCATCTTCCGCACAATTTGATCACAATTAACTACTTTTACGAAAAAGAATTTAAAGTTTCGAACCAACGATTACAAAACCAGCATGTTTTATCTGCTACACATCAGGCTATGTGCTATAGTTTGAAAAAGGCGCCCCTATAACTTATAATGGATGTCACAAGTTTTCCTCACCATTTTTATCGGCACTTAATCGTAACATACCAGATCACAAATCTTGCGCTTCGTAAACGCTGGCGGCGGAGGGCAGTTGTATGGGTTAAACGATCAGTAAGCTTGACTCCCGAGTGTTTCTGGAGCTTCGGCCCTGCCACATACTTAACTTTCTTGTTACCTGTGGTGTCTCCTTAGGCAAATGCCCCAGCTCACCCACATGCGAATGGGTTACCGGTAGGATAAAATCGACCAGTGGATGCAAACACTTCTAGCGGCTAACAGACAGACTGGATCGTGTACAGGAAGCTTGTGATGTCATTTGTAATGCGCAATGACTCGTTGACGGGGTTAACGACGTGAGGAATTATAACATGGCCCCTCCGTGGTGTGGAGTTTGGTGCTATATAGGTAACCTGGTATTATAATATAACCCAGTAAGCAATCATTATCGCATCTGGTTCCTTGGTCAAGTTGAAATAAAACAAATCATCATCGATTGTCTAATCGTTAACTATCGACGACAGGCGATACTGTCAGATTTCAATTACGCCGTGAAAGAAACGTTGAAGAAGGAATTTATGGATGGGTGCAACTGTGTATGTGCTAGCCGTGTTATCAGTTGATTCATTCACAAATGATGGCAACCGTGACGTGTCACCTGAATCACTGCATCGCGTGGGGATGGCAGACGTTCCATGTGCAGTTAAAAAAGGTTATTCTTACCGATTTGGCGTGACTGTCGACGTGGGCATAATCCGCCTCTCTGAACACGTCTGTTTTCCTGCTGATCGGTGGCTTGGGAGGGGGGTAGGAGTCGAGGGAGTCAGGGACGCTGATCTGAAACAACGGGAGGTGTGACAATAATGCATAATAAAGATGGAATGAACAAAGAATACAGAATATTCGTTCTGCCATACCCAGTTCAAACATCTACAGACGATGCACCAATATCACCTTCGTTAAGCTACTTGACAACATGGTGTTGTTGTTTTTTATTATAAACTTAAAATGTTAAGGACCATCCGATTCTGTCATCTTACTATAGTTAATCTGCTATGGCAGTATATATTGATATATTATGCATTACCTGGAACCCACACTCAATAACTTCCTGAAGATTATATCTAATACCTGTATTGATAACTGAGCGGTAGTGTAGCCTAGTGGTTAAAGCGTTCGCTCGTCACGCCGGAGGCCCGGGTTCGATTCGCTACATGGGTACAATGTGTGAAGCCCATTTCTGGTGTACCGCGCCGTGATATTGCTGGAACATTGCCAAAAGCGGCCTCAAAACCTTACTCAATTTCTAAAACAAAGTATTGCTAATTAGGTATTCAAAATTTTCATTTCAAGGTGCATTGCTCGTATAGCTGGAGACTGCATTTTATATTCATTTCGCATCTTAAGGTGCAGGAATATACTAAACCTGACGGTTCCCTTGTTAACCTGTTTCCCTTTCTGAACTCCACCTACCGGACTTATTTCCGATCCTTTGTTGTCTGTGCTGGAGGCTGTCCCCATGTCTGCGAGTCTGTTTGCTGTTACGTCAGTACCGCGGTATCAGGACATGTTCGACTGCAACACAAATACTGGTACATTAGTTGGGCAGTTTTCTTTAAAGCAATTCATTTTAGCCAATTGCCCCCACTTATTGCATTGGTGCTTGTCCGTGTCTCTTTCATGACCAATGGTAAAGATGGTTTTCTCTGCATCGTTGTTAGCTATGAACAATGATGAATACTACTGTTATGCATTTGCTGCTGTTATGATTAATGGAAATGCATATTGTGAGCACAGTGACGACCTGACTCATCGTCAACAGTAATATTGCTTGTTTCTAGAAGCCTCTAAACCCTGCTAAAAGCAGAGTCGATTGTAAGTTTCCGACTATATCATGAGCATGTGTTTATGAAAGACTATTAAATAGTCTTGATAAGTTCGCGAAAAGGTGAGCGTATCCTGCCCCACCGGTGACACCCGTCACAAACACATGCAAAAGCAAGTCAATTTGATCACCTGAAAAAAACACGAGAACATAATGGTACAAGTAAAAATAGAGATTATTCGGGCATCATTTTTGTCTCTGATGCGTCAAATTTGGAAATGTCCTTTATATATCTACCATAATACATTTTTGAAAGCTTCACTTAGGCCTTGAATGTTGTAACCTTGACCAAACAACGTCTGAGTAGGGGCTGTATGACGCTCATTGAAATCTTAGTAGAAAGCGCATGTTCCATTGTACCTGAAAAGTGGTGAAATGTAGACACCAAGGGCTGGAGTTGCGGGATTATTGTTGGACATTAGGGCAAAGTTGACTATTAGAAAATTGAAGTCAAGTAATCTCTTGTTTTAATATGTGCCCACGTGTGTTCATATGAATACGCTTACAAAAAACAATTATAAACCAACTGCCACTCTTGCCTATAATATTGTAGGTATCTTGTTATCTCATAGTTACCGTGTGAGGTACTACTTTCAAGTGAGACTTCTTGAGAGATTTTATATTTGAATTGTAAGACCTGCTTGGATTGTTTTAAAAGCCATTTAATGTACATCTAATGTTGATGTTTGTCTGGTTACAAGCCTCAACGTCTTTTCACATGAAATAGACTCTGCAACCTCACGTTTAATATTGTACCCCACTGGCTCCCACTGAACCACCGGAGCAAGTGATAAAAGGGTGTTCAATCTTACATGTCATAACTTATCATGCTGCACGTGGTCGTTCCCTCACGCGCTTTCATCGAATTCGTTTATACCGCGACTACCTATGTTTCACTTTTTGGTATTCCGATGTTTTCTTATTCTTTCCGGTATTCCTTGCATTTCGCCGATTCATTGGTTACTGAAGACACTCCCCTTCCGTTTCCGTTGAAAATGTAAAACCTTCAGCTCGCTGAGGTTTTACATTTTCGTCCAAAACCGAGGAAGGCGGGTTTTTTTAACTATAACTAAATGTATAGGTCAAACGTGACAAATTGGAGGTTTTCGGGAAGCATTTATATTTTGTAATATTTGAACATAATCAAATTGTCAACCTAGCCGATTTTCTTATTGGGAGGTGCAGAATGGGCACATGGTAAAACGTTCATCTTGGGTCACGAAGATAGTAAAATATTCTTTTAGGTCTGAAAAATATGCATAGTTCACTTATTTTAGACATAACTATGTACTTGACCACGTCAAAGTCCACATCTTGCAAGTGTAAGATTTTCAAAACCATAAGAGATATCTGCTAGAAGCAGAGTCCATTGTACGATTCCGACTACATCATGAGCATGTGTTTATGAACCATTATCCTATAGTGACGATACCAAGGCCGCGTTCCACATAACGATTGTATCGCTCAGGTGACCATAAGTCCTATACGATCGCTTTGCGGAATGGAGGCCAGGTGTTCGGGAAAAGGTGAGCGTATCCTGCCCCACCAGTGACACCCCGTGGCAACTCTTGAGCAAGGGTCGTATGAGGCTCTTCTCGAAAGAACATGCTCGATTATACCCCTGAAGTAAACTGACCATTTGTAAGACATTTGAAACATGTTTGATAACTTTATACCAATATCTAAGTTTTCCAAAAGCCCCTTATACACCTCATCCTTTAGTTTAACTTGAGCATACAGTAAAACAAAGCCATAGAAATTGATATTTCGAAAACTAGTTATCATGTTACTAGAATTCATACATCAAATTGACCGCCTCCGTGGTCTAGAGGTAGAGCGTCCGCCCGGAGAGCGGCAGGTCCGGGAGCGTCATACCAAAAGTCGTTAAAAGATGGTACTTGTTGTTACCCTGTCTGGCGCTCGGCATTAAGGGGTTAAAACAAGGACTGGTCGGCACCCAGTCAGTATACTGTGTCTGAGTGGGGTATTCATGTCTCGTATCTCAGTGAGCTAGCACTATAAATCGGCATCGGTCCGGACTAGTACAAGCAGACACGCGCGCGCGCCCACACACACACACACACACACACACACACACACACACACACACACACACACACACACACCCACACACACACACACACACACACACACACACACACACACACACACACACACCACACACACACCCCACACACACACACGTCGCTATATAAGTGCAATAACCTTGGACGCGTCGTTAAACCCAATTTCACCTCACCTCACCTACATCAAATTCCCTTGATAACGTCATTGATGTAGCTTCTACCCGTATTAATTACGCACAGATAAACAAATTATATTTATTTGCAACCATGAACACATTATTAACCCTAAAATTAGTGAAGGCTTACGGTTAACACGGTTAACTAGTGACTTAAGACAGACTCTACCGGCTGGAACCGGAACGTATGTTCACTGAATCAATAGCTGCGGTCCACGGCATGGCAAATTGCCTCACTAGGATACCTGTACTTTCTTTGGTCCAGCAGTTTTCTGTTGTTCATGAAACTGAAATCTCATTATACAAGTACTCGATTATCTACAATATACATTATTCTATTAAAACAAATTGAGGAATGACGTCCTACCTTTAAATCTATTGTTTGTTTATAACAGATCAATAAACACTGATCATGGGAAGATGATCATGTTACGGTACGCCCACCAGGTGCAACGAATAAAAACTGTCCGCAGATATAGAAACACCCTTTAAAATAGACTTCTTGTGCCGGTTATGTTTTAATATATTTGTTCAACTAATTTGGGATAGATGGTGATTTTGAAGAAATTATACACTTTATTCTGATGCAATTTCTTCTGATCAGCACAAGCAGAGGTTTTATTCACGGTCTGGTGATAAAATATCGATTCTTTGCCAACTTGGGATGGCAAAAAATGATTTCCACAGGAACTACGGAGTAAAACAAAAATGCTTATTTGGCAACTTTTGATTCTGTTGGCACCTATATAGTGTGATTACAAGATGTTCAGGAAGAGAGTCAATGAGTTTAACGGCGCTTTGAACTCAAGAAGAGACCACCTATTTTAACATCTGTCATCGCCCTATCATTTCAATAGGTGTAGGTTTGTAAATGGAATTTGCAACAACGTAAATACCGTTTCCGCCTTTGTTACTGAAACAAACACAAAGAAATCCTACATATGAACATCACCTTGGCAACTCCTTAACGTATTTTATTGGATACAGGTTATTGGTTCAGAAAACCCTTCGTAAATGGTCTGACAAGAAAGATTTGATGTGCTAACATTGAGATAAAGCAAATACAAGTTGTACAGTGTCGTGTTCAACACTTATATATTGATCCTTGTCATGAGGGTATAAATGTTATGGTTCACCAAGGAAACGATGGACAGTTGGACTCCTAGAAACAAAATGTTTTGGTCTGTGGTGCCGGTTGCCATTGGGATGTATAGAAGAACGCCCGACTGTGTAAATGGAACAACAAATAAATGATGCCAGACAAGTTGGTTATTGGCAAAGGAGTAATGTGTGCCACCTTTGTTACACTCCCTATTGTTGTTGGAGGTTACGTTAAGTATATAATTGTTGGACTGAACCTGAGAGATTTTATTTTGGAAGATAGACAGCTGAATGTTGCATGTAACCTCTCACGATCAATGTGTCTGTGTGTACCGGTGTTCTACTATTTGTCCGTGCATGTAATACAATCCCTGGTCGTCAGCGTGTCTGTATGGCTGGCTGTCAGTGCTATGTCTGCATGTGTCTGCATATCATGTATGCCTGTGTGTGTATGACAGCGGCGTGCGTATGTCTGCATATCCTGTATGCTTCTGTATGCATGACAACGTACTTGTGTCTGCATATCATGTATGCGTGTGTGTGCATGACAGCGTGCGTATGTCTGCATATCCTGTATGCTTGCGTATGCATGACAACGTACTTGTGTCTGCATACCTTGTATGCTTGTGTATGCATGACAGCGTGCGTATGTCTGCATATCCTGTATGCTTGTGTATGCATGACAGCGTGCGTATCTCTGCATATCCTGTATGCGTGTGTATGCATGACAGCGTGCGTATGTCTGCATATCATGTATGCGTGTGTGTGCGTTCTCCAACCTGCATATCTATCAGTGTTCATGCTCATAAGACGGAGGGTTTTTCGTCTGCAACTGTCTGCATCTGTGTGTCAGGGTCTATACATATGTGCATGCGTCCATCTGTGTATATTTTCCTTTCAGCGTTTGAATGCCGGTGTGTGTGCGACTAGTGCGACCGAACTAGCCCACTGGAATACAATGCTGCATTTCATCATGGATACCCTACTCACTCCGAGGCGACCTAGGCTTGTCGTACGAGGTGACTTGGTTGAAACATGTCATAGATCCCAATTACGTGGATCGATATTCATGATATTAATCACTGGATTGTCTGGTCCAGACTCGATTATTTTAAGACCGCCGTCATATAGCTGGAATATTTCTGAGTGCGGCGTAAAACAACAAACCAACCGAGGCGACCAGACTGTGTTGTATCCCCTTAATGCCAAGCTCCAATCATTGTGTGCTACTGACAGTCTGTATTATCCGCCATTGACGAACAAACTCCATCTTTGAACGTCTCTTGGAATGGAGGGGCCGGGGTTCGACTATCCGCGCTCCGTGTAATACTTTAAGACATAAATACGACAGTTGACACTAATAAAACGTTACATCTAACTTATAAAAAACAACAATTAAGGCAAAATAAAGCAATGAGAATGATGATATGTTACCTGTGACGGTATGCATATCAGAGTTTGTAAAACCACTTGAATAGCGCATATAAAATTGCATATCAGGGATACACGAGCTGTCAGGGTTGCAGCTTAAACCCAGATTTAGCATTTGACACAAATCAGAATAGTTTGTTCGCGTGCTGTAAATAGTGTTATGTCATAAAGTATTCACTTATTAAGTGTAAACATGTCTACCTATTAAGTGTAAACATGTCCACCTATTAAGTGTAAACATCTCCGCCTATTAAGTGTAAACATGTCCGCATATTAAGGGTAAACATGTCAACCTATTAAGGGTAAACATGTCCACCTATTAAGGGTAAACATGTCCACCTATTAAGTGTAAACATGAAGCGTACACGTGTCCACCTATCAAGTGTAAACATGTCCACCTATTAAGTGTTAACATGTCCACCTGTTAAGTGTAAACATGTCCACCTATTAAGTGTAAACATATCCACCTGTTAAGTGTAAACGTGTCCACCTATTAAGTTTAAACATGTCCACCTATTAAGTGTAACAATGTTCACATATTAAAGGTAAACATGTCCACCTATTAAGTGTAAACATGTCCACCTATTAAGTGTTAACATGTCCACCTATTAAGCGTTAACATGAAGCGTACACGTGTCCACCTATTAAGTGTAAACATGTCCACCTATTAAGTGTAAACATGTCCACCTATTAAGTCTAAACATGTTCACCTATTAAGGGTAAACATGTCCATCTATTAAGTGTAAACATGAAGCGTAAACGTGTCCACCTATTTAGTGTAAACGTGGCCACCTATTAAGTGTAAACATGTCCACTTATTAAGGGTAAACATGTCCACCTATTAAGTGTAAACATGAAGCGTACACGTGTCCACCATTAAGTGTAAACATGTCCACCTATTAAGTGTAAACATGTCCACCTATTAAGTGTAAACATGAAGCGTAAACGTGTCCACATATTAAGTGTAAACATGTCCACCTATTAAGTGTAAACATGTTCACCTATTAAGGGTTAACATGTCCACCTATTAAGTGTAAACATGAAGCGTAAGTAGTGTCCACCTATTAATGTAAGCGTGACCACCTATTAAGGGTAAACATGTCCACCTATAAAGTTTAAACATGAAGCGTACACATGTCCACCCATTAAGTGTAAACATGTCCACCTATTAAGTGTAAACGTGTCCACCTATTAAGTGTAAACATGTCCACCTATTAAGTGTAAACATGTCCACCTATTAAGTGTTAACGTGTCCACCTATTAAGTGTAAACATGTTCACCTATTAAGTTTAAACATGTCCACCTATTAAGGGTAAACATGTCCACCTATTAAGGGTAAACATGAAGCGTAAACGTGTCCACATATTAAGTGTTAACGTGGCCACCTATTAAGGGTAAACATGTCCACCTATTAAGTGTAAACATGAAGCGTACACGTGTCCACCTATTAAGTGTAAACATGTTCACCTATTAAGGGTTAACATGTCCACCTATTAAGTGTAAACATGAAGCGTAAATAGTGTCCACCTATTAATGTAAACGTGACCACCTTTTAAGGGTAAACATGTCCACCTATAAAGTGTAAACATGAAGCGTACACATGTCCACCTATTAAGTGTAAACATGTCCACCTATTAAGTGTAAACGTGTCCACCTATTAAGTGTAAACATGTCCACCTATTAAGTGTAAACATGTCCACCTATTAAGTGTTAACGTGTCCACCTATTAAGTGTAAACATGTTCACCTATTGAGTGTAAACATGTCCACCTATTTAGTGTAAACATGTTCACCTATTAAGTGTAAACGTGGCCACCTATTAAGTTTAAACATGTCCACCTGTTAAGGGTAAACATGTCCACCTATTAAGGGTAAACATGAAGCGTAAACGTGTCCACCTATTAAGTGTAAACATGTCAACCTATTAAGGGTGAACATGTCCACATTGGGATTGAAATATCTTAGATTTTACCTTTATCTTGCCGAACACCGTCCGATCAGTGTATAGAGAAGTGCTGATAGTGCTTTCTGTTTACTTTTATGTACTTAACAGCAAATGAATATTTCATCACTTCATGGCCGCTCCTGTCTTATTATTTTTTTCCAATCAGGCACGAAATTAGAAATGGGCACACAAATAGAACATTTAGACGCGCGTTCATTCTATATGCGTACCACGGAAATAATAATTATTGGAAATCATTGTCTTCTTGTCAATTTGGCCATAACAATTGTGAAACCACAACGTTCCTTGTTATTGACGCACATTGCATCGCTGTGTCCATTTACCATAACTTAACCAATAAGTGACAGGAATTGTGTTTGGGTTGATTGTTTGATGGGATGAATGGGAGGGACAACTGGTTTGCCGGGTCATTAGGACTGTTCTATTACAAGTACTTTGACATAAACAGTTCGAGACAGCTAGCATGGGTTGCCAAAAGTGCGACCACTTGCTGTCCAGGATCCTTCTGTCACTGATTCCTAGATTCGGCCCGATTTTAGTCCTTGATCTATCAGTGCTATAAGGGGCGGTGGGCTCACCTAGTGGTTAAAGCGTTCGCTCGTCATGGCGGAGACCCAGGTTTTATTCGCTATTGCTGGTGTCCCCTGCCGTGATATTGCTAAAATATTGCTAAACGCGGCGTAAAACAATACTAACTCACTGCCAGCGCCATACTTTACTAACACCTACGACCCAAGTAAATCTTTCCTCATACATTAAACTACACTCAAGACAGAAAGAAATACCAGTGATAACACATACTGTACTGAATTTGTTCGGAATATATCGTCTTTAAAGCACTTTACACACATACAAAAAAACAATAGTTACGAGTTTCTGATATTTTTGTGTTGGTCGTTGATTAATGTTGATCTCCGATCGCCAAGTCTATCTAGTGAGCTTCCACTACAGTTGCCTGTTGACGTTGACACCAAACCGAAATATATATATATATAAAACAAAATTGAACAAGGACCTAGACATTTCTATTACTTCGGCGTCTCATTCACCTACAACTGATGTTAATTGTCTCAGACTTTGTTGATTAAGAATGGATTATTATGAATAATCCGCACGTTTCTTCTGACTGTCTCACCAGTAGTTCCAGGGTCTGTGTAGATACAGAAGGGGTCATGTCTGAAGGAAAGGAATGTTCTGAGCCAATGATGTGTTCACTTCTTACACATGATCAAAGGTATGAACTGTGCAGAAGATTATATTGTGGTGTGCAGGTATGTACACGGGGATTGTTTGAGGTGACGCGGTTCCTCTGTTTCACTGTGAGTGGAGGGTGGTCGGGTAGCCTAGTGGCTAAAGCGTTCTCTCGTCACGCCGAAGACCCGGTCCGATTTTCAACATGGGTACAATATGTGAAGCCCATTTCTGGTGTCCTCAGCCGTGACATTGCTATAATATTGCTAAAAGCGGTGTAAAACCATACTCACCTCCTGTGAGTGATCATAATTCATTTAAATCATAGATATACACTTTTGAAAAGACGTTTTTATTGTAGTGAGTGAGTTATTCCGGTTATATCACGTCGTGTCAGCTTAATGTGGGAGTGAGTGAGGGTTTAACCACTAGGTTTTCCCGACCGCCCCCTTGGGAAGAAACCCAGACGTGGTGCAGGTATATCAGACGTTTACCACCGACGAGCACGGGTATGGTGCTGACAAACCTAGAAACATAATCGGGGCGAACCGGGGTTTCAACCCACAGTCATAGGTTTCTGGCGTGCCTAAGGGACGCAACTCTGCACAGCGACTTACAGTGTTTTAGACGACTGGGCCACCCGTGCCCCCGGATTTTATGATAGATATGATTAAACGTATATATGATAGACTCCAATTCTTAATTTAGGGATTACATAAAATGAATCGTCGGACAATGATGATTATGGATATCAATATTGTGAAAGTCGATATATGTGTAGTTATTTTCAACAGACCAAACTGGTGTTCAGCCATATCATGTTGCTAAAATTCAAAGCAATCAGTATTTTATAGACTGTTTAATGGTGAACACTTTGAGGGGCGATAAAGAGAACATTGATTAAACGCAAATGGAAAACATAAAATGACAGTAAGACCAGTGAAACACGCTTTGTTGGTGAATTCTGACTATAACTAGCCTCTGGCTGGTCACAATGGTACAAGGGAACTACGTCGCTGTCTTCATTGCATATCGCACCCGTATTCTCTCACTGAATCTTCAGCGTCATTACCTTTAGGTACGAGCATATTGCTGAACTTATTTTAATTGGTTATAATAATATCTTAAGCTACAAAAGAGACTTAAAATTGAGTAGAAATGCATCAACTGAAAATCGTAGACTACAAAAGTGATGTTATGAGACGTGGTTGTATATGTATATGTACAATAATCTCCTTGCGAAAAACAACTACACATAGACTAGTTTCTCAATACGAATAAAAACTCACCAATAGCGTATGAAGGAACGTTACATCCCGAATGACGCTGTTACAAATACACTTGCTTGTTATCCAGGAATGTTTTTTAAAGTCAAACGTATATTAAGGGCACCGGATGTGAAATAATCTCAATCCCGACAACCTTCTGTTAGTTTCAATATCTTCTATATGACACACGCCTCTTCAGTTGTTCAATGTCAGACAAAATATAACATTAAGTGGCGCCAGGTTCCCTTTGTGATGTTGCTGAGCAACACGGAAACAAAGTTTCTAAAACAGTAGAAAAATTGACTAATCAAATAGCAAGAGATAGCGAGGCGTGAAGAGAATGGCCTCAACGATTAGTTGAAGTCTTGCAAAGGGTGTGTGTATCTACTGCCTAGAAACCCGAACGGGGGAGGGGCTTTGGGTTTTGGATGGGGAGAGGTGATTCTGTCATAGTGTCTTTACAGAGCCGTCACTTTCAGATCGATAACTATAGATTTAAGTTGGAATGTTGTAGATAATGCAGATATATAGTTGAGCATCATGCATATTTTATTTGACGCTGTCATAACGTTTAGTATAGACACGCCTTGTTGGGGAAAAATCGATTAGAGTTCAAAATGCCAATACAGTAATGCACAGGAGGATTGGTCATTGATGTGTTGATACACAATAACAGTTTGGTTTGACACACGACGTATTTAATGAAATGCTTATGGATGCATTAATTCATTTTCGTAATAAATAGTTGTATTTATGCCATCATTATTATTGGCGTCGGTGTCGTCACTGTCGGCATGCTCGTCTCCTTGACATTCAGGAATACATACTCACTGCGAAGTTTGATCTTGAAATGATACCGCGAAATATTTACTGGTGTGACGACCCGTGGTGTAAAGGGGGATGACCTTTGTATCTGGTGGTGTAAAGTAGGATGACACTTGTATCTGGTGGTGTAAAGTAGGATGACACTTGTATCTGGTGGTGTAAAGTAGGATGACCTTTGTATCTGGTGGTGTAAAGTGGGATGACACTTGTATCTGGTGGTGTAAAGTAGGATGACCTTTGTATCTGGTGGTGTAAAGTAGGATGACACTTGTATCTGGTGGTGTAAAGTAGGATGACACTTGTATCTCGTTGTGTAAAGTGACAAGACCCTTGTATGTCGTGGTTTTAGGTAGGATGACTCTTGTATATCCTGTTGTAAAGTAACAAGACCCTTGTATCTCGTGGTGTAAAGTAACAAGACACTTGTATCTCGCAGTGTAAAGTGGAATGACCCTTGTATCTTGTGGTGTACCATTGGAAGACCCTTGTATCTCGGGATGCAAAGTGGGAAGACCCTTGTATCTGGTGGTGCAAAGAGGGAAGACCCTTGTATCTGGTGGTGCAAAGTAGGAAGGCCCTTGTATCTCGTTGTGTAAAGTAACAAGACACTTGTATCTCGTGGTGTAAAGTAGGAACACCCTTGTATATCCTGTTGTAAAGTGACAAGACCCTTGTATCTCGTGGTGTAAAGTAGGAAGGCCCTTGTATCTCGTTGTGTAAAGTAACAAGACACTTGTATCTCGTGGTGTAAAGTATGAAGACCCTTGTATCTCGTGGTGTAAAGTAGGAACACCCTTGTATATCCTGTTGTAAAGTAACAAGACCCTTGTATCTCGTGGTGTAAAGTAACAAGACACTTGTATCTCGCAGTGTAAAGTGGAATGACCCTTGTATCTTGTGGTGTACCATTGGAAGACCCTTGTATCTCGGGATGCAAAGTGGGAAGACCCTTGTATCTGGTGGTGCAAAGAGGGAAGACCCTTGTATCTGGTGGTGCAAAGAGGGAAGACCCTTGTATCTGATGATGCAAAGAGGGAAGACCCTTGTATCTTGTGGTGCAAAGAGGGAAGACCCTTGTATCTGGTGGTGCAAAGAGGGAAGACCCTTGTATCTGGTGGTGCAAAGAGGGAAGACCCTTGTATCTGGTGGTGCAAAGAGGGAAAACCCTTGTGGTGTAAAGTGAGAAGATCCTTGTGTCTCGTGTTGTACAATGTGAAGACCCTTGTTTCTCGTGGTGTAAAGTGGGATGACCCTTGTATCTGGTGGTGCAAAGTGAGGTGACCCTTGCATCTTGTGGTGTACAATGGGAAGACACTTGTGTCTCGTGGTGTAAAGTGGGAAGACTCTTGCATCTGGAGGTGAACAAAATGAAGACTGATGATGGAAATAGGAAGATCAATGCATCTACTGGTGCACGTTTAGAGGACAGTGGTACAGGATAACACGTGACGGGGAAATGTGACAAGAAACTAACGTCTGAAAGTCATTTGGCAAGTTAACTTGTATCTAATGTGGAAAATATACATATACTTGCCTGTCATCGAGAAATGGAGAAATGAACCGCGAGATGTGAGCATCGAGGAAAAGGTAAATAGACTTGATTCTAAGGTGCAAAGGGAAAGGATATTTGCTTCCACTCTCTACATCGATTGCTACAAACATAAGACCCATCAAAGGAGAACACCGACATGTCGAAAGGAGAATAAGGATATGACAATAACAGTGAAGCCAGTCACTTGTTGAAAGTTCTAATCAATAAAATTCTAAATCTACACAGTCCACATTCTAACCACCGGATCGACATTAGTCGGCTCTTGCGAAAATTAACGGATAGTTAAGGCCTTTACATTTAGATAAACTAATACGAGAACGTCATTGCTATTATGACATAAAGAAGTAGGAAAACTCGGATGGGTGCATTAACACTAGTATTAGGAGAACATCAGCGGAGGGATACATTAATATTAGTATTAGGAGAACATCAGCGGAGGGATACATTAATACTAGTATTAGGAGAACATCAACGGAAGGATACATTAATATTAGTATTAGGAGAACATCAGCGGAGGGATACATTAACATTTGTATTAGGAGAACATCAGCGGAGGGAAACATTAACATTTGTATTAGGAGAACATCAGCGGAGGGATACATTAACATTTGTATTAGGAGAACATCAGTGGAAGGATACATTAACATTTGTATTAGGAGAACATCAGCGGAGGGATACATTAACATTTGTATTAGGAGAACATCAGCGGAAGGATACATTAACATTTGTATTAGGAGAACATCAGCGGAGGGATACATTAACATTTGTATTAGGAGAACATCAGCGGAGGTAGAAATTAAGCAATAGAAAAATAGCAGATGGATAAATTAACATTATTAGCAATAGAGCATAAGCGGATGACTAAATTAACATTATGAGTAGGAGAATATCAGCGGATTTATCCATAATAACGTTAGTATTAGAAGATTATCAGTTGATCGAACAATTAAGATTAGTAGTAGAAGAACATCAGCGGATTGATAAGTTAATATTAGCAGTAGGAGAATATAGAGTAGCAATAGAGTGAGTGAGTATGGTTTTACGCCGCTTTTAGCAATATTCCAGCAATATCACGGCGGGGGACAACAGAAATGGGCTCCAGCGGATGGAATGTGTACATTGGTGGTAGGAGAATATCAGCAGCTTTGTCCATTTATCATTTGTAGCAATAGAACATCAGCAGATTGATAACTTAAAATTAGCAGTAGGTGAATCTCGGCAGATTGGTACATTAACACTTAGTAGTAGAAAAACAACAGCAGCAGATGGATAAATTAACAAGAGTAGCAATAGTACATGTGCAGATTGGTACATTAATATGGTAGTAGGAGAACATCAGCAGATTGGTACACTACCATTTAGTGGTAGGAAAACATCAGTGGATTGTAACATTAACGTAAGTAGTAGGAACACATCAGCAGATTGGTACATTAACATAAAAGGAGGAGAATTCAACGGATTGGTACATAAACATTAGTAGTTGGAGAACATTAGCGGATTGGCACATTAACATTAGTAGTAGGAGAAGTCAGCAGATTGAAGTGAGTGAGTGTGGTGTTACGACGCTTTTAGCAATAATCCAGCAATATCACGGCGGGGGATACCAGAAATGGGCTTCACACATAGTACCCATGTCGGGAATCGAACCCGGATCTTCGGCGAAACCCTTTAACAACTAGGCTAACCGACCACGCCTTAACGGATTGGAACATTATCAACATTAGTAGTAGGCGAACATTAGATGATTGATACATCGACATTGAGTTGTAGGAGGCGCATTGCTTGAACCACATCAATACGGCATCAAGTAGAAATTGAAACTACAGAGAGATACTTTCACAGAAGCAGATACATTGTTCAGTGTTGAGAACTGATGCAGAATAGCATCCTCGACAAGTTGGATCGAAATGGCGAATTTTGAACCGACTATGACAATAATCGGTAACGGCACGCCCGTAGCACTTGGATAAATATCAATATACCAGTCTAGGTTAGTGTACGAAGGGTACAGAAAATCAATCTGACAACAGTGATCGATTTCCTACTAAGTGGATCTTTCCTTTATTCAGGCATAAAAATGGACATGTAATGATACCAGTTACCTTTTAGAACACCATTCAATTCAAAGACAAATCATGTAGCGGTTATGAAGTCACTTTCTCAAGGTTGATTCGTGATCATTTTCACAAATTGTTGTCAACGGATGGGCCAGTTCCAATTAACGAACAATGAGAAAATTATATGAATGGATCACTGAAAATCAACGATGACACCAGGTGATCGCGAAGAGGGTAAGCATGTCCTGCCCTACACGTAGCACCCGACACTCATACAATAGGAATAAAACAGAAAGTGTTTGTTTGTTGCCTGCCACACAGCAGTTCTCCTGGGACTGGAATACAAAATTAATTAACATTATGTGTGTTTTTTATATTAATCAAGCCGCTACATGTTTGACAGTGAATATAACTTTGTGCAAAACATATCCCATGTCATTGCAAGACAGCTAGATGATCTTGTCTGAGATTCAATCTCTTTGGGGTGATTTACTTATGTTGTGCTTTATCATATACTGACTGTTTATCAAACCGTATTCAAAAACCAAAATGTCTCTTGTGTGATTACAAAGAAACAAAAGCTTCATTATAAAAGCTTTAACATGAGCTACAAGGCTCTGTAGCTCACCTGAATTTGGGAGAACAATTACAACATCAACAAATAATCATCATAAAACAAAGGTGAACAGAAATATGCAACATGAGTAATGGTTCCTTCGTATCTGAAGGTCATGCAAAGTATATTTCATATTAATCCATCAATAATTGCTAGAAAGAGGG